TGTAAACAAAATTAAAAAAAAACAACGGGTCGTAAAGACATACCATCAAAAAGCTTCGCGTTAACCGCAGCAACATGAAATTATCAATTTTTTCACGTCCTATACACTCATGTTTGCTAACCACAATCCGGACTAATCTCTAATCTTCTTATGTCACGGAAATGTCTGGGTCTGGGTTTTAATGAGAGACGCACAGGTTATTACACTACCGAACAAACAGACACACAAGCAAACATTAATGTTAATATTCACTGGACCGTACGTTATTCCCAGGAATTATCACGAAGATATCACACGACACACATCTTCGCGCCCCAGAAGGAACCCTACTGATTATTTCATGACGATACATAGACATGGTTATGTAAAATAATATAAATTTGTAATGATCACGCGATAATGAACCCTAAACAACAAAAGACTAAGTCAAAAATACTGTAAACATAGTGGGGTGGGGTGTGAACTCACCCCGCGTACACCCCCAACCTCTGCCAATGCAAAGGGATGTGCCTCCTTTCAGAACACTGATTTAACGGAACAGCGCTTTCGTTTAAACTGCTATAAAAAGTGCTAGTTTCCAAATAACGAAATTTATTACACATTTCAAATAATCATAATAGTACTACGCCTTTCTCCGTACATCATAGGGACGTTATTAGTCCACGTCGCTAGTATATGTTCCATGTATTCTAACGTTGGTGGTACTTCAATAGTATTTTATTTCAATAAAAGGTAACGCACTGGTTGCTAGTTAGCTCAACTAAAAACATCTAATGGGTACAGTTAGGTTTACTACGACTATTGTTGCAAACTATAATGCAAGCATTGAGGTCTATTATTTGTCAAGTGGAATTTTAGTGGAGTTTGAAAGTTTATGAGCACTTTCGATGCGTTTCCGTTACAATTTTTAATTCAGCATTATTGTTCATAGATTAAAGTTATGGTAAGAGTCTATATCCGTTAAATGCTCGAACAAAACGGTTTCAATGAAAAAAGCCACAGCCCTATTATCGCCAGTGTTGCCATATGACAAAAGTCGTATTTAATTAAATCGAAGTAATTGTTCTTGTGGCATATTTATATAGTTGTATATTAACAGATTAAATACAAGGGGTTTAATAACCAACCAGTCGTTGCTGGCGAGGGTAGGATTGACGGCATGCAAATGAGCAAAGGGTTGAAATGCCTCCATTAAAACATGACTCTGATTAATTTTATAAAGCATGAAATTGAGTCGTGACTCGTGAGAGTCTACGTTTCTGGGAATAATTATTATAGGTTTTGTTTGAAGTTTCAATATTGACTTTTGAGTTTTGCGCATGCCATAATGACAGAAATTTAAGTACTGTGAATATTATTTAATTATTTTAACTTATATACACAGCATGTAATTAATATTTACATGTATTGAAGTAAACGTATAGAAGTGAATCTCTCTTATCTATTTGTCTATAAAGTTTTGGCGATATTAAAGCAGTCACGCCTATGACCTAACGTTAGATGTGATATCGTATCGTACCCTTAGATTGTATATACTTCTTGAAGCTGTTCCGCCTCATAACAAATGTCAAGTTTATGACACTTTTTCAATGATATTATATACAAATACGAAGAATTGAAATTAAACGTCATAAAGAATATTATTAAACATCACATCATTGCACTGTTTTGTATTCTTATGGGTGTGTGCGTAAAGGCATTGTTTTACACTCGCCTCAAATGTATTTGTGGGCGTCAAGAATATTTTAATAAAGAAGGCGCGTGTCTATATTGCGCAACGTTTAAAATTGTTCCGCTTTACATTATATGACATATATCAAGTGAATATGACAGATGAAATACAACGTATGGCAGGGAAAGGGAGTTACAATGTAATTTTATTATTTTATTTTATACGAAAAGTTGTCAAACGAGCAGACGGTTCACCTGATGTTAAGTGAATACCGCCGCCCATGGACATCCGCCACACCCGAGGGTTACGGATGCGGTGACAACCTTTTGAAAATTGGGCTCCGGCTACCTCACTCACCGGACGAAACGCGAAAGTATTTGTCATACTTCCACTTTACGCCGGTCTTCTGTGAGGTCGTGGTACTTACCCGGGCGGGCCTGCCCATTCGTGCAACAGCCGAGGCTGCTGCGTGGCCCCACCACAAATTAAATTATACAAATTGGCGTAATTTGAGTGCGTCAAGACATTCATATAATTATGCGTGTATGCATACGCTTGAATAACGTTATTCTCCTTCGGCAGTTGGGTAAAAATAAGCTCATGACTATGACTTGTATTGACTCATTTTCCTCACCTTACCAGTTTACTATGCTTATATCGTGGCCTTTAAAATTATTGCGAATATTAAAACTAGCTGAAAATTTCTATATATTTTCTCACCTCGAAATATAAATAAAAACAGGATATAAAACGGGTATTCCTGTATATCTCACACTATCGAATTGGTATTGTAACTGTGGCAGGGACACGCAAAAGACTTCTTTGTTGCACAAATGGGCAGATCCGTTCGGGTAAGTGTGACGACTTCACTGAAAACCGCGTGAAATGTAAATTGGATACTTCAGTATTTTGTCTGATGATTAATGTAGCCCAGCAACCCTACGGGTGTTGCAAATGTCAATAGGCGGTGGACATCAATTAACATCAGATGAACTGCCAGCTCGTTTGCTAAATTCTCACATAAAAAAGTTTTCGGCGGGCTCTAAGTCCTTGGCTTTTGCCGTGTTTTAACATGTAAAACAATTTTAAAAGTGAGAGTGACATAGTGTAGGGTACTACTGTCACTCTCACTTTAAATATATTTCAAATTTTATCCGCGAAAAAGTTAAAGATGAAGACGGATTTTTGATTCTTATAATAATGTATATTCGTTTAGTCTTTCAAGGAGATGTGTTTGGAGATATGAAACCGGTGCCTGATTGATAGACTCATTTAAGATTTAATTCCCATGGTGCTGTAACACATACAAATAGATAGTTAAGGAGAATAAATACATACTTAATATTAATTAATATAATAATTATATTATACCCTTACAAGCCTGACAAATCTTATAAACAAATGAAACGACTTTACAATTGCGATTAGATGAGTTTTTAACTAGTCGTGTACAGAGTGACCTATCTATATACGAGTATCTACAACACATTGGAGCATTAATCTAAACATTGTTTAACTTTAAATTTTCATTACTTATTGTTTAACGTTGGGAAATCGCTGCTATAAAAAAAGGATTTTATAAGTAAGATCCAAGTTTATAATAATACTAGCCTGTTCTGAAAAGGTGACGCACAGTGGATCGAAGATATACGAGTAGTGATTTTAATATATATTCTTTGCTTGACATGCCTACTGGTGGTTGTGCAGCTGCTAACCTGTTGGCTCCAGCCCATGGGCTCGTGGGTTCGAATGCCACACGTAACAAATATTTGCGTGACCCACAAATAAGTTAACGTGATTGATACATGTCGTGCCGACCCAACCTAAGTGGTTTAAGGGCAGAGGAAAGAAGGAGAATATGACTGCAACTTTTTTTTTTTTCATCTATGGAATTTGTAGCTGCTCACTAGAAGTACAACAAACATATCTATTTCTACCTAAAAAAAACACCGCACTAGTTCCCGTTATACGAAATGTGTCAAATAATGAGTAATGAATAATTATACAATCATGTGCAATGATATTTTAGCTGCTCAATTACGTCTTATTCCACACACTTTGGTAAAAAAATATATAATTTGCCATCTTATATACCTATCTAATTATATACTGACATATTATAAGCATGATATTATAACCTTTATACATATATATTTTAGACATATTTACCAATTATATTATATACAAATATGACACCAGTCACTAGCGCAAACACAAATTACGCTAATTGGTGTAATTACAGGTGTAATACATAAACGAAACAATTTTTAAATGCCACGCGGTACGGACATACATCATCTATATAAACAGTTGGTAAATAGGTGAGGTTCGATTTTTATGTTTTTTTTATGTGAAAAGTTGCCAAGCGAGCTGGTGGTTCACTTGATGTTAAGTGAATACCACCACCCACGGACATCTGCTACACCCGAGGGTTGCAGATGCGTTTATATATATTTGTGGAGTTTATGTAATTTTTAACATTAAAATTAATGTTAAAAATTACATTATTAAAACTTATGTGAGACATTACTAATGAAATAATAAAACGGCTGAACTCACTATAAATCGGTGTATGTATCGACTAGTTTCTGACCCATCGGAATTCATTCATTTGGGTGAGTCAGGTGCAAACGATAACGGGGCGGAGGAAGTACTGAGGGTAAAGTTGCAATTTATCATGAATCATACATAAGTCGAATATTGATGAAATACTTTAGGTTGAAGTATTTGATAATTGTCTTTTTAAATAAAAACCATTGACCACAATTTAGACCACTTCCTCATCACTACATAGTATAAAACAAAGTCATCCCGCTGTCTGTCACTCCCTATGTATGCTTAGATTAAAGATCACTAACTGCGTAACGGATCTTGTTGCAGTTATTTTTACTAGATAGAGTGATTCAAGAGGAAGTTTTATATGTATAAAACATTGCACCCGTATGAAGCCGGGGCGGGTCGTTAGTGTTAAATAAAATATTTAAATATCTGATTTATAAAACAAGTGTAATATTTTATGAAAAACGAATCATTAATAATTATTTTAAATAAATTAAAATGCCCTTAAAACCTACTTTAAAATATAAAAAAATGGGCCCTGTTTTGCTGAAGAAAATAAAAGCCGTAAAAAGTTGGTAACACTTAATCTTTTATTTTGATATTTGGTCGGCATGAAATGTCAAACTCGAAGATCTAGTAACCTATAAAAATTAGGAAAAATTAGTATTGCTATTTTAGTTTAATTGTATGCTTACGTAATTTATTTTGCAAGGAACTGAAAAGTGGACGTAATCAAACATTGTATGCACATTGTTACCATCGTGCAAACATGAATATAGCTCGCAGGATATGTACTACACCCTATCAAAATGTCAACAAAAGTTTGTACAGAAAATTTAAAACCTCAGTCGCTCAATACGAATCCTCCGCTCACACGCAGCCGCAAATTCAAGAAGAGAAATTCGATTTCGAGGATTTAAAGGTACTAGAGCGGACGGAGCGTCGGAAAGCACAAATACCGCCATTCATGAAAAATGTATTCTTATCGGTGTATAACCGCGATTTGCTAGCATATCCCGAGATTTTGAACAAGGAGGAATCAGAAGCGCTAGATGAGAGAGTTGCGGCCCTAGATAGAGTCTTCTCCGACCCCGATAAAACATTGGAAGATCGGAAAAACGCATTGAAAGTCACGAAAATGTACGCTGCTCCTGTAAGCCTCACAAACAACGGTCTAGCGATAAACCATACGGAGAGTTTGCGTTATCTAGAGACGATAGGTGCAGATTTGCAGCTTGGGCAGGAGATAAGCGACCATTGGGTTAGCCTAAATGCCCTAAAGCTGGGTTTAACCGAAGACACACATCAAAAGATTATTGACCATATGACATCAGGTGAACATACCATTGCTCTGTGTATAAAAGAAAGGATAGCTGAGCGTATAACACAGGCGGACTTTAGAACTTCTGCAGCTCTGGATGAGAGGAGTAAGTAATTATTCATGTTATTGTGAAATTTTTGATAATATTTATTTTCCCAGTATTCAATTATTCAATTATTTCCTTGTGTTATAAAGAAACTTTAATTGTGTTACTAGATGTGATGAATAAGTTTTTCAAATACAAAATTATTCTTAACTAGCTGCTGCCCGCGACTATGCCTGCTGTATTAGGCTGTATTAGGCGTAACATTTAGACAGAAAGATCGATATACATAAAAATATGTCTATAAATTATAGCCTATGTGTTATTCTGATGTATAAGCTATATTATTGTAAAGTTTCATTAAAATCCATCCAGTAGTATTTGCATGAAAGAGTAACAAACATCTATCCATACATACAAACTTTCGCCTTTATAATATTAGTAAGGATTATTTTCTTTATGCAAAGGGTAGCAGTTAGTAGGGTTGATGGTTCACATAATGTTACATGATTACAACCACCTATTGACAGATGCCACATGCCCAGATGAATTGTTGATAAAATTTGTGTGGGCTTGCATGTGGCTGCCAAGCTTTAAAAGAATTGGCTCTGGGTTATAGGTTGATAGGCAGAAGACCGGCGTAAAGTGGAAGTATAATACTTTCGCGTTTCGTCTGGTGAGTGAGGTGGTGGTGAGGAGCCCAATTTTCAAAAGGTTGTCGACGCATCTGCAACCCTCGGGTGTAGCAGATGTCCATGGGTGGCAGTATTCACTTAAATCAGGTGAACTGCCTGCTCGCTTGGCAACTTTTCACATAAAATAAAAAAACATATTAAATTTCCACTTCATGCAATCTCTGTGAGATTTTGGTATGGCCGGACAGGCCTGCCCAATTAGGTAATATATGTATTTGATTCACTGCTGTATGGGTCATATGACATACAGTTTAATTGAAAATAATATTCTATACCTTTAAATCAACCTATGTAAATAACGAAAATAAATATTTTCAATTATAACTTTCCGCAACATTATCTAGTAAGTGAACATATTATGGGTACTAAATAATTGTCAATTTACTAAACTTTAACATATTTTTCTTTTTTACTTACATAAAACCCAGACGCAAGAAAAACACTATGGTCATCAAGCAAGTTTTTTCCAGTAGTGGGGATTAAACATACCGTCTGACACAAAAGACATGTTCACTATACACTTCGGAGATTGGCTTGCGGAATGTAAAACCTGCAGTTTCAGTTTATGTAGGCTGCACAAATAGGATTATCCAAACCATTTTTTAATAGAACACATTAAAATCACCTAAATCAACAGAATTTTTCTATTTGTTAAAAACGCTTCTGTGAAATTTGACTCATATATACCACTCAGTGTATTTTTGTGCACATAAAAAATAATGCACTATTGAAGATACAACTACAAAAGTGTCTTAGCAATTCATGTATGTACAATGAGTCTATTACGTAGGTCACAACTCGCCATTAAATGTAACAGGGCAATCCCTCATCTTCCAGGTGTATGGCGCATAACCGGCGAGAAAATCTGCAAGAGCACCTCCGGCTATTATTTGGTGCTGTGCGTTGCGGAAACTCGCCTAAAGATGTTCCTGGTGCATCCCGATGCCGAAGGAGTGAGTCACGATGACACTTACGTCACGTTCAGAAAGACACCAGGTCAGTACTACTCCAGCCCTATAGTCCCGGGCTCATAGAATAGGGCTAAGGTATCTCCTGCCTGTCGTAAAAGGCGACTAAAAGGGGACACGGATGGGCAGCAGCACGAAGTGGTCTCGTGCTGCTTCAAGAGGATGAGGGAATCGGAGAAGGTTTATCCTTCTCCGAGGCGTGCTCAGGCGTAGTACCGAGGGACACCGAGATCCCCGAGTTCCTCCAAATGTATCGAAGGCGGCCGCCGGGAGGGTTTTAGTGGGTAAGAACCCCACATAACCCTGTCATATAAAGACAGGGTATCTTTAGAAGATTTCCCCCCGATACCAAAAAAAAAGGTCAGTACCACTCTTCTGAGGATTGGTTCCAAATGTTCTCAAAGCTGTTCCTGCTGTTGAATAAATAGGCTATTTGGACCATATAATTAATAATAAATTATACCATACATAAATCCTTATAATCATTTAACTCTATGGTATTTAGTCACATTTGAATAAATCCCAATAATTTGTTTTCTTTGGTTCTTTTCACCAGGAACACCCCTGGACATGGTCACAGAGGACCTCCTGGCAAGAGCTCTTGGCGTCTCGCGACTCCATACAGCTGCCCTCATCCGTTGCAGCCTCCTGCAGGCCATACGGAAGATATCGGGGTACATCCAGCCTAGGACTTTCTCTGGTAAAGAACTGCTGATTTGATAAAAGTCAGTTACAGTTATGGTGGACCCCTTTTCCAATTTGACCTGTTAAACTTTGTAATAGCTTTGGAAGTTTCATAGATTTATTTGCTCACTGAAAACAACACAAAACAGAACGAATTATATATATGTATAAACATCTTCACAATTAAAAAAGTAAAATAAATTACAGCCTATAGTAAAGTGTTCCCATGTCTCTGTTGGGCAAAGGCGTCCACCACGAGAGCCCACTGCAGACATTGCATATTGTCAAAATATTATTTATTATTTCGAAATTAATGCGGTTTTCCTCACGATGTTTTACCTTTACCGCTGAGCACGTGATAAGTCAGCACTTAAAATTAAGAATTTCATTAGTGGTGGTCGGGTTGCTGGAGCATATTGAATTAGAGCGAGCAACCAAACACAGCTAACACAACCCTTACTTCTTCGAAGTGCTACAAATAATTATATTACAGTCAATTCTTGCGCTCATAGAAGAAAAGCTGTTTAATAGGAACCTCTCCATCTTCTCCCCATTTTGGTGACTCCGTGATGCATCTGCCCAGATATTGGTTTGGTTGTGGGTTTCATTCCCACACATTCACATGAGCCACGGATAATTGTTTCGTATCTGAGTGTTTGGCCATGTGAAATTTGTGTATTTAAAATAAAGCAATGTTTTGGAAGGGACAACTACAATAGATCTTCCTAGATCTTAGTGGTTGGTGGACTTACCATCAATCCCCACCACACAAATCTTAATCATCACCATAATATCCTCCCCAGGGAAACCACTGTCAGAGGTCACTACTATACGAGCGGTGGTGGGAGACGCTTTGCTGACGGCCTACGCCTCGGAGAGTGCGGAGTACTTCACGGCCGGTCTACTGGACGGCTACTTGGAGCCGGACGCCGACCTGGAGGTGGCCATGTGCAGGTATCGGTCCACTCCGGCTGGAGATGCCGACTTTGACGACACTTTATGGAATCTCCATAGAGTATGTAGCGGTGTACGCCACTACAACAACCTACAGAGTTTCTTTCGCCTGCTTCTTCTCCGTTAGAGTAATCTCATTAGGAAATGGTGGTAGGTTAAAAAAAATTACTATCAATAGATGAAATGTGAGTGAAATGAATTCTTACTTCGATGAATAAATTATCTGATTTGATCACTTTACGCTGCTCTCCTGTGAGGTCGGTACTTTCCGAGACGGAGCTGCCCATTCGTGCAACAGCGAAGACTGCTCTGAGGCCCTACCAGTCTGATAAATCTGTTCGACCACCTCCCCAGGAACTTCATCGCTGGAGCAGGCCTGGGCTCGCTCCTGAAGCTGATAGCCATACCAAACGTCGAGATGCAGTCGGAGGGTCGGACCCTGCTGGAGAATCTCCGATCGCTCACCCTCAGGGGGGAGACGGTAGACAGCGTGAACATGTTCATCGGTGAGTACCTCTGGTCTTTCCGTTGTTTTCGATGCGTCTATCCCATTTTGGAGTGGGTCTGCGCAAGAGTATTGCCGTTCCGTACGCGCCTCGGTCCAAATAGTTATCCGTCTTGCTCTGGGAGTGGGTCAGCGCAAGAGTTTTGACGTCCCGTTCGCCCCTCAGTCCTAACAGCTATCCGTCTCGCTCGCACCACAAGTTGGTACAGTCGCTATGTATAGATATATCGGTTAGATGATTTTCATGACAGACTTCGAAAAACTGCCCAAAATCAGTAAAACGCGTGAGATATATGAAACTGGTTTTCCTTCTTTTTTATAATTGCAACGACACTTGACCATTTAATGTCAATACTCAACACAAATCAACAAACAGTAGATCAATAAATAACTCCGCAAAACCCGTAAATAACCTCCAAAATTATCTTTACTCATCATCATCCTGCCCTTATCCCAACTAAGTAACGTCGGCACGACAAGTGAATCATGTTGTAAGCGGTTTTGTCTGATTTTACGACTGGCCGCCTTCCTCGCGTCAATTCCTTGGCAAACAAACGCCCAGATCCGGAGCAACTATCTGTGGTTCACACAAATAGTGGGCCCGTGTGAGAATCGAACCCACGAACCCAGACGCCGAAGCCAATAGCTTCAAGTCAAAAGTATTTTCACTGTTTTCAACCGACTTCAAAAAAGGAGGAGGTTCGCAATTCGACTTTGTTTTTTTTTTTTTTTATGTTTGTTACCTCAGAACTTTCGACTGAGGCAACCGATTTTGATGATCCTCTTTTTATTTGAAAGCCGGTGCTTCCCATTTGGTCCCATATATTTCATTGGTATAGGACCTTGGGCGCCGGAGATCTCCGATAGTAACTTAGGGAACACCTGCAAAATCAATTATACAGCGTGTCGTCACCATCGCGACAATAAATGAAACGAAACGCTACTTGCCAATGATCATAAAAAAATATTAAAGTGAAAAAAATCCAAAATTAAAAAAAAAAAATTTCTAACAAACTAATAAGGTAAAAAAGGAAACAAAATTTGTAACATCCTATACAACTACAACTGACTGATTCATACATTCACAGACTTTTTCATTCGTTGCCACAGCGACGCATTACAAGCCTCTCCTTCTAACAGTATGTTTTGTCTCTTTTAAATTCATTCAAGCCATTCATATACTTTGTGACCTTTTCAAATGAACTTTACGTTACAGTTTTATGCGTAAGGGTGTTCTAAAAATGTTTGTTTTGGAAAATTTAATAACTCTGTAAATATTGATGTTTAAAGAATATACATTTTTGCGACAATTTTAAAAAGTTATCCTCTATATGTGTGTTCATTTATTGTCGCGTTGGTAAAGACACGCGGTATAACGAACACAGAGCGAGATATTTGAAGACGGTTTTCTTTTTCGTTAAAAAAATGGACTTGTTTAATATGTTTTGACGACTCCGTGGCGCAGTTTCCAAGGTATTGGCTTCGGGGTCGGGGGTCGTGGGTTCGATCCCCACACGGGACAACTATTTGTGTGGCCCACATACTTGTTTCGCATCTGGATTCGCGTTTGTCCGCGTGAAATTCATGTTAGTAAAACGTCCTTACAACACAGGATAATGTTATCCTAAAGTGAGGGCAATGTTTTTAAAAAATAAAAAGAAAAAAAGATACGCACAGTTGAAATCTCTCCAATTCCAGCGCTGAACGGGATACACCACGCGGGCAAGGCGATGTCGCAGGAGATCCACCAGATGAGGAACCCGGTGTTCCACCCCACCTTCATCCTGAAGAAGCTCTTCAGTGACAGGCACCAGGTGGGGACGCTCGCCATCCCACCAGTTCTATGAATGGGTTGCCCTTACTTGTGAACCCTGGTGTAATATTGGCACCCTTAGGGCTCCAGTAGATTCTATCGTGAAATGCCAGACCGGTGTGAGTTAGAAGTGTTACACTTCTGTTCGTTTCGTTTAGTGAGTGGCAAAGATGGCACCGTATCTGCAACGCTATGGGTGTTGCAACTGTCAATGGGCAGCGGTTATATTTTACGACCCGATTGGCGTAGTGGGTAGCGAAACTGCCTCTTGCCCCAGAGGGTGTGGTTTCGATCGAACTTTTGTGATTAACATAGTGTTTTTCCAGAGTTATGGGTGTTTATACATATAATATGTATTTATTCACAAGAGAAAAGTATATTTAAGTATGTTTATTTGTTTCTTAGTTTGGGACAAGAGAATTTGTGTAAAAATGTGTCCTGAAATATTTAAATATTTATCACTTAACATCAATTGAACCGCCGGCTCGTTTAGTATTAATAATAACAATCACTTTCTTTTTGAAAAAACATGAAAACATGGTTGTATGATGCAATGTGATGTCATAGGTTCTTAAATATCACATGTTTTTTGCTATGAACAAGCGTACAAATATTAATAGCGGTGTTCTTAGCACCTATAAGCAGAGAAATTAAAGAAGAAAGAACACATAATAATGAAAAAGTAAAAAAACAAATGTATCGATTAGTTGACACTGCTATTTAAATATAAGATACCTAATCAAATTACTTGCAGACTTTTAGAATAACATTGATTGAGTACTAGCCAGTTTTTTAATTAAAAAAAAAAACTAACGCCCCGTTTCTGAAACACTGATTAACTTAGAAGTTAACTAATCTGTGAAATGGCTTTTCAAATTTCATTTGAGGATGGTTAAACTCTCTGAATTGATCATAACGATCTTCTTAATGATCAGAATGATAGATTCAAATAGTTTGACCATCCTTTTGGCAAATCAAATGAAATTTGAGAGGCAGCTGATTGGTTGACTTCTACGATATCGGTGTTTCAGAAACCGTGCTTGGCATTATTCAATAATCATTTACGTGTAATGTGAGTCCGCCAATCCGCAGCGTCTCGTGGTGGACTATGCCCTGATACCCTCTTTGCGGAGGGGGCCTTTGACCAGCAGTGGGACATTTGTAGGCCGTTGTTATTGTTTATTATTACTTTTTTATATTGTTTAGACAGTAATTGTTTTTTTTTTTAAATTTCTGTTCATTTATGATTTTAGAGGAAACTTAACTGGTATTTGTACAAGCTATTTTTAATAACTATAAGTGCGGTGTATACTGTGTGTTTCCCAAATAAATAAATAAATAAATCTCACACCGGTGTCGTACACTATTCCAGGAGAGGGACCAGCCCAAGCTGACCCTGCGGCTGGCCGAGCACCTGCACCCCTCGCTGAGGGTGCCCTCGGAGCACCTGGAGTACTGCGTGCTGAGGATGAAATGGGCCTGCGAGACCATGATGGCCCGCCACGGCGTGGAGGTGCCCAGAGCCCACCTGTCAGTACCGACCCGAGCTGACCATTAGATATTTATTTTATTTTATTTATTTTATGCGAAAAGTTGTCAAACGAGTACACGGTTCACCTAATGTTAAATGAATACCGCCGCCCATGGACATCTGCCACACCCGAGGGTTACAGATGGTTTGACAACCTTGATTCTTTTCCACATCTTCTTCTTCTTCTTCTTTCTTTAATAAATGACTTCTCTTAAAAGAATTCCGCCAACACGTTAGTCACGTTAGTCAAGGCAGTGACGTTTATACTTATAGATCAGATAAAATTTTGTGGATTATATTGAGATTTCCAACCTGAAAGTAAAGAGACATTTGCACATTACGGTGTTAGGGCCACGCAGCAGCCTCGGCTGTTGCACGAATAGGCTGGCCCGTCCGGGTAAGTACCACGACCTCACAGAAGACCAGCGTAAAGTGGAAGTATGACAAATACTTTCGCATAGGTGGCCCTACCACCGTAAATTTGACCATCATTTAGATTAATGAATAAAACAAAAGCCTTTTAATTTCTTGCAGTATAATTAAATGACATGATATATTAAGTATATGAGAAGTGCCCAAATTTACACAGGAGGTTCAGACTCGGTAGTATAATCGTTTATTGAAATAAAAAACTACGTTCTTTTTCCAAAAAAAAAAAAAAATGCCATTCTATTCCCTAAAAAACAGAACGTGTTGACAATGCGGTAGTCATTCATAAATACCTAAATTTTACTGTGCATGAACTTGTGTTAGTTATGAATGATCCCGCATAAAATAAATGAGTTGTGTATAAATCACGCTCTTTTTGAGATAAGTTTATCACGCACTTTTTGAGATAAGTTTAAATGAATGTAATCAATTACTTACGAGTGATTTTAAATATTTATCATTTTTTTATAACATTATTTATGTCTAGAATTTATTAAAATAAAATGGATACACTTAGAAATGCCACCCTGTCTGTATAAACTCGCATTTTACGTTTAATTATTTGGTTATACATATTCACCCAGCCACTGTAAATTCCCGACGTTTCGTACCCTTTACAGCGTTCATGGCCACGGGACAGACTGAGGTGTTAGACGTCTGATTGTGGGTGTCTGCGAATTAAAATTAAAAATAAACGCGATAAATCCGTAAAATTAGTTTCGTTTATAATGTGTAATCGAGTAAATACAAGAAAAAACCCAGACACTGGGGAAAAAACGATGTTTATCGCACAATATTTTTCCAGTAGTGGGGGTCGAACCCACACCCCCTGTCACAAGAGGCAAGGTCGCTACTCCCCACGCTAATCGTGTCGTCATCAAAAATAAAATACTTTTCTAGTTATTGGGAAAATGAAACACCGAAACTTTTTTGGTATTAAGAAGCCCTTTTTTGTCATACATCATTCTGTTTAAATTTCTCTGCCGGAATGGTCTGGTTAAAGAGTTATTTATGTCACTACATAGTATAAAACCAAGTCGTCCTGCTGTTCGTCTGTCCCTATGTATGCTTAGATCTTTAAAACTGTGGATACTACTAAATCTTGATGCTGTTTTTTTTACTAGATAGAGTGATTCAAGAGGAAGGTTCATATGTACAATACATTTCACCGTGCGAAGCCGGGGCGGGTCGCTAGTTTATAAATAAAATCGATAAACTCATTTCTATTACAGGGAGCTGAACAGGCTAGCGGAGGCTGCTTCGGAGATCCTCGTCATTTCGGCGGTGCTCGCGAGGGCGTCCAGGTATGTAGGTCTCAATAACATCATAATAACTGGTAGGGCCACGCACTTCGGCTGTTGCACGAATCGGCAGGTCCGTCCGGGTAAGTACCAACGACCTCACAGAAGACCGGTCTTAGAAATGCCCACAAATTTCATATTTTAAGATACCCTTATTAATTGGAACTAAATTTAACTGTGGTAGGACCACGCAACAGTGTTCACTGTTGCACGAATGGGCAGGTCCGTCCCGGTAAGTACCACGACCTCACAGAAGACCGGTCTTAGAAATGCCCACAAATTTCATATTTTAAGATACCCTCATTAATTGGAACTAAATTTAACTGTGGTAGGACCACGCAACAGTGTTCACTGTTGCACGAATGGGCAGGTCCGTCCCGGTAATACCACGAACTCACAGAAGACCGGTCTTAGAAATGCCCACAAATTTCATATTTTAAGATACCCTCATTAATTGGAACTAAATTTAACTGTGGTAGGACCACGCAACAGTGTTCACTGTTGCACGAATGGGCAGGTCCGTCCCGGTAAGTACCACGAACCTCACAGAAGACCGGTCTTAGAAATGCCCACAAATTTCATATTTTAAGATACCCTCATTAATTGGAACTAAATTTAACTGTGGTAGGACCACGCAACAGTGTTCACTGTTGCACGAATGGGCAGGTCCGTCCCGGTAAGTACCACGACCTCACAGAAGACCGGTCTTAGAAATGCCCACAAATTTCATATTTTAAGATACCCTCATTAATTGGAACTAAATTTAACTGTGGTAGGACCACGCAACAGTGTTCACTGTTGCACGAATGGGCAGGTCCGTCCCGGTAAGTACCACGAACTCACAGAAGACCGGTCTTAGAAATGCCCACAAATTTCATATTTTAAGATACCCTCATTAATTGGAACTAAATTTAACTGTGGTAGGACCACGCAACAGTGTTCACTGTTGCACGAATGGGCAGGTCCGTCCCGGTAAGTACCACGACCTCACAGAAGACCGGTCTTAGAAATGCCCACAAATTTCATATTTTAAGATACCCTCATTAATTGGAACTAAATTTAACTGTGGTAGGACCACGCAACAGTGTTCACTGTTGCACGAATGGGCCCGCAACAGTGTTCACTGTTGCACGAATGGGCAGGTCCGTCCCGGTAAGTACCACGAACTCACAGAAGACCGGTCTTAGAAATGCCCACAAATTTCATATTTTAAGATACCCTCATTAATTGGAACTAAATTTAACTGTGGTAGGACCACGCAACAGTGTTCACTGTTGCACGAATGGGCAGGTCCGTCCCGGTAAGTACCACGACCTCACAGAAGACCGGTCTTAGAAATGCCCACAAATTTCATATTTTAAGATACCCTCATTAATTGGAACTAAATTTAACTGTGGTAGGACCACGCAACAGTGTTCACTGTTGCACGAATGGGCAGGTCCGTCCCGGTAAGTACCACGAACTCACAGAAGACCGGTCTTAGAAATGCCCACAAATTTCATATTTTAAGATACCCTCATTAATTGGAACTAAATTTAACTGTGGTAGGACCACGCAACAGTGTTCACTGTTGCACGAATGGGCAGGTCCGTCCCGGTAAGTACCACGACCTCACAGAAGACCGGTCTTAGAAATGCCCACAAATTTCATATTTTAAGATACCCTCATTAATTGGAACTAAATTTAACTGTGGTAGGACCACGCAACAGTGTTCACTGTTGCACGAATGGGCAGGTCCGTCCCGGTAAGTACCACGAACTCACAGAAGACAGGCGCGAAATGGAAGTGTTATACTTCTGCGTTTCGTCTAGTGAGTGAGGTAGACAGGACCCACTTTATTAAAAGGTGGCAACGCATAAAGGGTGTTGCAAATGTACATGGGCGGCGGTTATCACTTAACATCAGGTGAACCGCCAGCTCGTTTGCCACCTTTTCACATTAAAAAAACCAAGGCCAAGTGCAAATCGGACTCGAGCAATGCAACATTTAATTTTATTTATTTAATAATGTAGCGGTTATAGAGGGACAATAAATAAAATGGCTGGTTCTAATCTTTGTTCAGTCTACATTAATTGTGTACTGGTTATTTCAGTGTATTTTTCCATATGTTTGGTTTAAAATGTAATTGAATCCGGAAAATTACCTTTAAGGGCCTACTGCATCGGTTTGAGGAACTCGGAGAATGAGATGAAACTCGCCTCCTGTTTCGCGGAGCAGTCCAGGAACAGGGTCCAGAGACTGATCAAGGAGATTGACGATGGGGAGTATTTGAACCTGGACCGGTTTGTGGTCGAGTTTGGGAAGAAGGCCCTCGAAGGTGGAACACTTTGCGAGAAGGCAACTGCGAGGGTGTTCTGGTAGCGGAGAATGGCTGGTAATACAAGTAGTGAAGAGTTATCGCCGTATCCAGTTGACAGTAATCAACGGAACGGACGGTGTTGCCATTAGCAAGGTTGTTAATGTTGCTAGAGCGAAGAGAATGAATTTATTACCTGCACCGAGGAATACATGCAATGGTATAGTTCCTTTGGCAAAGATGCTGAATTAAGTATGAGTGCTGTTCTTTATATTGTTGTAAAGATCTCGTTTTTGTGCTTGTTTTGAATGGAATATACTTTTCATACATATAATTGTGAACAAATATTAACTACAGAGATTTAATTTTTCTTTCTGCAATTATAGCAGCAGGCAATTATAACGTTTTAATTTTCTTTTAACAATATTTTGTTGGCTCAAGACACAGAAGAGGAACTTTTTGGGGGAAATAAATTTAAGGAGCAAATATATTATAAAAAGATAAAGTAAGATTGTAAAATGATTTTTGGGTTATAACAACTTCAAACTGGCAACACTGATTTTAGTTACTAGGTAATATGCAATAACTGTAATATATAATTTAATATTATGTTGTTTAATAAATTATAATGATAGTTTTTATTTTATTTTTAATATCTTTAAAAATAATGTCTTACTTATCACATTCACCAGAAATATTTTATTACCTAGAAATGGAAGAGACTGGGTAAAGGTGGAATAAAGTAATCATCATATTGTCTAACTTCTGTAATAATTTGGTCTGCTAAATTACTGCTGTTAATTATTTATTTTATTTAATTATTTTTTATTATTAATGATCCTAACTTAATATCCAGAAAAATATAAATTTAGATTTTGAATAATTGAACTTTGGAAAATGAAGTAAATCTCAAAGCAACTTCAATAATTATTAAGGAGAACCCTATACGAAAACTAATTTGCTAATACAGTTTATGTCAGAAAAAAGATTATCAAGAGATCAAGATCCACTAAAGTACTAAAGTAAATAGTTTTCTCATCATGACTTGATTTATGCGTCTTATAAGGTCAAAGCTCCTAAGCAAAAACCAAAAATCATGAAACTACGAAGTTTTGCTCGAATGGATACCAATAAGCTTGTTGAAGATGCGGATGCAATTGATTGGAATTCGCTTCTAGGTAGTGATACAGTGGACTCTAAGGTTGAGATTTTCAAATCCAACATAATTAAACTTTATGATAAACATGCTCCTCTTCGTAAGGTGCGAGTTAAGAGGCCCCCTGCTCCCTGGCTTACAAATTGTATCAGACTGTTTATGGCACGCCGTGACCGTCTACGAAGAAAACATAAGAAGAGCCCTACTGAAGAAAACTGGAACGCTTACAGGTTGGCAAGAAACCGCTGTAACCAGAAGATACGTAACGCTAAGCGACGGCATATTTATGAGGGAATAAATAACTGCTCTCCAATGAAATTGTGGAAGTTCATGCGTACGCTGGGTATTGGAAGGTGCAGTGCGCAGGCTCCCGTGCTTGTTGGGCTTAATTCCCTTAATAGTTATTTCTCATCTCCGCCTTTCACCATCGACACTTCCTTAAAGAGGCTGGCTATTCAGGATATCATGTCTAGGCCGCGTGATGTGCGCGACTGCTTCATTTTCGAGCCTGTTACAGACTCAATAGTCAGGAAAATTATAGTCTCCATCTCGAGTAAAGCTGTCGGAGGCGACGGAATAGGCCGAGACTTAATTATTCCCATCCTTGATCAAATCCTACCAATTATCACCCATATTTTAAATTTCTCCCTCACCTCAGGACAATTTCCTTCAGCCTGGAAACAGGCCTTCATCTTACCTATCCCTAAAATTTCAGACCCTACGGAACTTTCTCACTATCGTCCCATTTCCATTCTTCCATTCTTGTCTAAGGTCCTGGAAAGGGTAGTTCAATTTCAGTTAATGCGCTACCTTAGATCCCATAAACTACTGAACCCGTTCCAATCTGGCTTTCGTCCAGGGCATAGCACCTGTACGGCTCTAATCAAGATTATGGATGATATTCGCAGTGGTATGGATGACACACAACTGACTCTACTAGCGCTACTAGATTTCAGTAATGCTTTTAACTGTGTTGACCATGAAATACTTATTTGCATTCTGAGCTCTCTTAACATGTCCACCGATGTCGTCCAGTGGTTCACTTCCTACTTAAATGATCGAAGTCAGCGCATAAATGTGGACGACCGTTTCTCAAACTGGCATAATGTATCTGCAGGCGTCCCCCAGGGTGGGGTGCTCTCACCTCTACTTTTCTCCATATTTATAAATACTATATCTCGTATCATTGAGCACAGCAAGTACCATCTGTATGCTGATGACCTGCAGCTATATATCACTACAAAACGGGCTGATCTAGTGGATACTATAGAAAAGTTGTCTCTCGACCTTGACAATATTAGACATTGGACGGAACGGTACGGGCTGCTTATTAATCCCTCTAAAACCCAAATCATCTTGGTGGGTAGCCCTAGAATTCTGTCACTGATTGACTTCCTTACCTTGCCACCCGTAACATTTAATGGCTTACCACTTCCTTTTTGTAAAACGATTAAAAATCTTGGATTGCATATTTCACAAGATCTTTCCTGGACTTTTCACGTCACGAAAGTTAGTCAAAGGGTATTTGCTTCCTTCCATTGCCTTAAGCGCCTGCAAAATTTCCTTCCTTTACCCACCAAAATAACCTTAGTTAACACCTTGCTATTACCTATCATAGACTATGCCGATGTGTGCTATACTGATATCACCGAAGCACTTTTAAATAAACTTGAACGGGTACTAAACCTATGTATACGTTTTGTCTTCGGTATTCGAAAGTTCGATCACGTGTCACACTACCGAACTAAGCTGAAGTGGCTCAATATACGGAACCGAAGGAATGTACACGCACTCACCATGTTATATAATGTACTGCACAACGATTGGTCTCCGCAATACCTCAGGGAGCGGTTCTCATATATACAGTTCGTTGGACGTGTACCCCCCGCAAAGGTTATAATAAATATTTAAATACCCCCGCATGTCGCACGGATTACTATTCCAGTTCTTTCACTTGTACAGCAATAAAATTGTGGAATAGTCTGCCAGTCGATATAAGAGAGGCCCCGTCGATTGATGTTTTTAAAGCGCGTGTATCTGAACACTATTTACTTATTCAGAACAGTGTGACTGATTGATTCTTTATTTTATTTGAATTTATATTTATTATGTATGTATAAATAGTAGGTATGTAATATATATATGGGTACATATATATATATATAGTGTACAATAAATAGTATGTGTAATATAATATATACGTGCAAGTATGTGTATAAAATTGTAATTATATATATTTATGATGAAGTATATTTAGTTTTGCCATATTCTTTATGATAGACACTAAAAATTTTGTATGTCATTTTAGCGTTACTACCCGTAACTTGTACTCAACCACCAAAGGTTAGCTGGAAGAAAATGCTATTTAGCATTAAGTTCGCCTTTGTACAAACTTCTAGTACAATAAAGAATATACAAACAAACAAAAGTATTGGCAGATTATTAGTAAAAATTTGGAGATCTCACTCATATTGCTCGCACATGTTTATCTTAATTAGAATTATCATTTAATTACGATTATAAGAGTAAAGATACGTCAAAATTTTTGGGGATACGGATGTCAGGAACATCACTAATTGCAACAAACAGAAGAGTTTATAATTCTTAAAAAAGAACTTCGGTGCAGAAAGGGTTGGAGTTGCATGATCTGATTCCTCTTTTTTCCATCATCGGACAACCTGGCGCTGGGCAGGGCTCCACCTTTATGCTGTCGACGTTCCAACAAAGCGATTCTCTTCGTCATTTATCATCCGTACAACTAAGGAATGGAACAACCTGCCGGCGTCCGTCTTTACGTCCGATTACAACGTAGGCGTCTTCGAGGCAAGAGTGAATAGGTTTTTACTGAGCCAGCGCGCTTACCATCAGCGGCTGCATCGCCACTTACCATCAGGTGGATGACAGTCAAGCGCTGGCCTCTTCGTCTTCCGTCCCTGATCCCGTCATTTGGGGTCGGGTCTCCTCACTTTCCTGCGCCAAGACAAACGGTCTTGGGTTGTCGCTTCAGGCAATCGGGCTTTCTTTGTCTCTTGCAATACTGGACCACCAGGTCATTGGCGGACGGCCTCTTTGGATTTAAGACTAATAGTACGACGTAATCTTCGCTGCGTCTTTTAATTTGTCCCTACCATATTAGGCGATTTTCTGTCATTTTGTCTGATTGGTGCGACCCTAAAGCTGCCACGTATATGTTCATTACGGACTTTGTCGAGCCGGGTCACACCTCCGGCCCATCTTAGCATATTCATTTCGTTGGTATGGACCTGTTGCTCTTTCGCCTTCTTAGTTGTCCAACATTCGGAGCCATACAATAACGCGGGTCGTACTGCAGTTTTATAGACTTTAGTGCCTCTAGTTTTTATGGGAATACGTGGATCACATAATACCCCTCCCTGTAAGTGATTTCAACACCATTTCAACCACGCGGCACTGATTCTATGGGCCACGTCTACATCAACGTTTGCATCTGCTGTAAGCATAGATCTTATCATCACAAGATTGAATAGTAGAGGGCTAAGAGATGATCCCTGATGGACACCCACTTTGACCTCAAAGGCTTTACTCACGCCGGCTAGGCTTCGGACTCTCGTGTTGGCACTGTTGTACATATCCTTAATAAGCTCAATATAATACTCGGGCACTTTTTGAGCGCGAAGAGTTTGCCACACTAGCTTACGCGGAACTCGGTCAAAGGCTTTTTCTAGGTCAATGAATGCCAGATGTAGGTCTTTGTTGTAAATTTTATATTTTTCCATCAGGATTCTAATCGCTTGAATGCGAATCAAGCGCTAGCCAATTTTGAATAAAAAAAATAGTTAAGTAAGTAGGTACCTAATTTAATATTTTAGGTAGTCATTCTCAGGATTTGGTTATTGATTACATAAATTGTCGAAAAGTTTACGACTCTGCTCAGATTCAAACCCACGTAAAAGGTCAGAAAGAAATAAAACCATTTGTATTATTAATTTTATTGAAGCATCAGTAATAGGAACTTTCATATTATGTGAAAAGTACTTCATGTTTTGAACGTTTTAATTTTTTTTTATAATAAGAAGTACTTTTTATTACTAGTTACAAATAATCAGTGCGGTTGTGCTAATTTATCTTAGTGTAATCGATAAAGAGCTTTTACTTTTTAATGTTAAAAGTTAGCTGACTAGACTTAACTTGTGAAAAGCAAAAATAATTTATTACATATTTAATTTGAAATGTGCTATAAATCACGGCCTGTAACCACCCTTTGGATAAACGTTAATAAACGACACAGGTTTCTCGACGACAGGCTTGAATTTATCGCCGATAGTGACGTTCCGCGGCGGGTTTTCTTTCCCGCGCTTTCTTAGTTTAGCGACGCCGTCCGCCATCTTGGATCGGACAACTTTCGGCGCGAACGCCTCCTTGTCTATGGTCTTGGCTTTGTTCATGTTTCTTTCTTTGCGTTTGTAGTAAAACACCTCCCAGGCTAGGGTTACCATCGCCAGGCCCAGCCCGAAGAGCGTCGCTATGAAAACTCCTCCTGGAAGTTGTGGTTAAGTATTAATGACATATTTGTGTTAAATTTTTTCAAATATGGCTATGGCACTATAGACAGTTTTTGTTAAAAGATCACAAATAATGCCTTTTGATTCGCAAAAATAAAATAATAATACTATTATTATTTATTTCGTTCCAAACAATATAACAAAATAATTACTAATTATAGTAAACACATAGTTACAAGTTACGAGGGCGGGATGATAAGTAACTAGCCACTGCTATTTAAAAAGTTAAAATTAAAAATATATATATGTCATTTTTAATTTGGGGCATGAAAATTTTATTTATTTTTTGTCATTTGAAACATACACATAACATAAACGTAGTGATTACATTCTCTTTGATTTGAAAATATATTTCGTGAACTGGCGGTGATAAAGTTTCTTCATATGAAGGGCATGAAGGGGAAAGATATCTATGACGAGTTAAAAAATGTTTTGGGTGAATGCGCTCCTTCTTATGCCACAGTAAAAAACTGAGTTTAAACGTGGTCGTACATGTGTCCAAGATCAAGCCCGCATCGGACGTCCAAAATGCGTCACGACTCAGGAAATGGTCGTGAAAGTACATGATATGATTTTAGCAGATACACGATTGAAGTTACCTGAAATAGCTGACACTACAGGTATCTCAAAAGAACGGGTACATCATATCCTAAGTGAGGAATTAAATATGAGAAAGTTATCTGTCCGTTGGGTGCCGTTATTGCTTACGAGGATCAAAACCGTTTTCAGAGTAATAAGGTCAATTTTTTACGTCGATTTGTAACAACAGATGAAACATGGGTTCATCATTACACACCAGAATCAAAAATTCAATCAAAACAGTGGACTCGATCGAGATGCCACGCTCAAAAAAAGCCCGGAAAAGTGATGGCTTCCGTCTTTTGGGATGCAGATGGGATCTTGATGATAGATTACCTTCCTAAAGGTCAAACAATTAATGGAGAATACTACGCTAATCTTCTAGATAAGCTTTAACGAGAGAACAAACCTTCCACCAAGACAACGCTAGGGTTCACACCTGTGTTAAAGCTATGGCAAGAAACAACGAATTGAAGTATGATTTGCTTCCCCACCCACCTTATTCGCCTGATCTAGCGCCGTTAGACTTCCACTTATTCCCTAAGCTCAAAACTTTTTTGGGCGGACAGAAAAGAGAATGATCTGTCCGCCCATTAATATAATTAATTTAATACATTTCATAATTTAAGTAACATTTTTACATTTAGTTTGGGACTAAAAATAAAGTTCTTCCTATCCCGAGTTATTTTTATTTTAAAAGTACTTTTGATTAACGTAATAATAAAATATGACTGCATTGTTTATTTGTAAAAATGTCTAGGGAAGTTATACAGTACTTCAAAACAATCAATATATCAATCGGTGGTAATCGAACTATAATCGATTAAGAGCTGGCATTTTCATATTATATATTTATATATTTCGATTTTTTTTTGCAAAACATCTTGTTAACCAATTAAAATCGAATCGGAACAACTCGTCATGTGGTGAATCGGTGTCTGTTCTGTCGTTTCGTTTCAATCACTGTCACTTTTGCGTTTAAATACAAACCGTAAAATTGTGTTCATTGGCGTATTAATTGAAAACCGCCAAAAAAGAAAAAGAAGAAGAAGAAGAACCGTAAAATTAGCAACAGCAAAATTTTACTTGGATTAATTTCAGTCCCATGCCGTTGTTTTGTGTTTTACGTCGAGTTGAGATAAAATATTTCCTCCGTATATGCTAAAAGTATTACAGTGAGCGTTTCGCATTAAATTGTACACTTCGCGACCTGTGACTCTTTAAGCACGTTGACTTTAATAATATAGTTTTTATGTTAAGTGTTTGGGCTATTTGACTTTTTTTAGGATAGTTTACGTTTTAAGTGTTTGATCTCATTGACTATTGTGTTTCAAGTTCAAGTTTCAAGTAGTTTGTAATTACATTACACGCGGTGCATAAATTGTTCGTTACTGTTACGTGTAAATATGCGTAGACACCCATTGAGTGAAGTAACTGAGTTTACTTTAAACGTTTTACGTTCATGGACAACACCCACGCCTGTAAGTTTCCTTTCGTATCACAATAATTATAGTTGGTCTTTTAACATGTGAATGATAATGACAAAGTTTTTTTCTACATTTGTAGATTACCTCTGGAGACTTGATATGTGATGCATGCTTTCAAGTAATTGGCCAGTCCACAAGTCAAGCAGAACCAGTACGAGGACATCGCAGTGTTTGCTTTGGCTGTGTTGTATCTATATTGGGATCTCGTACTCATAGGGTCCCTTTAGATTGCCCCGAACGTAACATTATACTTAGATGGACTTCCCCTCACTTGGTAAATATGTTTGTATGTATGGTAACTAAAACAGTGTCAATTGAAGGGTTGGTTGTTATACGCAATAAGTCAGATCATTTTGTGTCTATGCATAATTATTATGTTCTATTACATTGTATTATTTGTGTGCAAGAACTAGACTAAATAACAAACAAAAAACTTAGAGATTTAAATAGACGATTTGCTTTAAATAGGTTTGCTAGTGACTTGCACCAATATAATATTATAAGTTCAGTTTTGGTACACCCCCACCTAGATGGACAGACAATATCAAGCCAGTCACAAGGAGCCACTGGATGCAAGTGGCCTAGGTATTTGCTAGAACTGTCAGATTTTATCCACTGTGATATTTATTTACTGAGCAGTTTCAATAAACGTGTTGTCCATGGTATCTCAATGACCTGCGGTTTCTTTGCTGAGTTTCAATAAAAATTCCTTTTATATTTTATGAGAAAACCTTTACAATGTGCCCATTATTGTCATCATACAAATGTTTTACCTTACTACGTAATAAAAACTCATTATGATTTTAGGTATCTCATCTAGACAAAGTTTGTTGAGCTTGTTGGATGAGTGCTTATCGAGAAGTGAGGAGACAGGCCAGTCATGAAGTTCAAAGACAGCCTTCATCGGAAATTGAAAACCAGCCGAATGTACCTGTAGCACCACCATTACCACCTCAGCCGGCACCTGTTCAAGAAAACCCAGCTAGAAGGAAACCAAGCGTTACTTCAATGGTTTACTAATGTGTATCTGCAACTTCTAGACATTGCTTGTTTTAGAGTGTGAAAATCAGGAACGACTCTTGGTACCGTCCTTTTTAAAAGAGTTATTATTATCAAAATACCATATTTATGTGCCACTCACATCTAGAATCTGCCGTGATCATTTGAATAACGCCAAATGGAAAGACTTAAGAGCACCATTTAATACCTTTACCGGTTTTCAAATGGACAACATGAGGTCTATTACGCAAAGTGCAGGTCAAAGACAGTTTACTACTGGTTAGAACTTAATGCGACTCAATTCATGTGTTGCATTAAGTATATTGTTGGTAAAACTAAGAACAGGAGACAGTAATGAAATAATTTCATCACTTTTTAAATTAACACATCCAAATTTAGAATGTTAGATGAATAATACCAGGAACTGCTTATTTCAGACATTTGTTCCCAATGTACTTGGGTTTAGGCCGTACAAATATAAGAGAAGTTGCTATTATAAATATACTAACTTAGTAAAAAAGCCCTTCTTATTTGTTTGCTGTGATGGCTATATTTTAGAATGTTTAGAGCCAACCCAAAATGATTCATCAATAATAAATGATGCATTTAAGGGTGAGGAAAATGAGATTTAGAGATTTTTTAAGGAAAATTATATCTTTATGTTGGATAAAGGTTTGAGGGATGCAATACCTGAATTACTTGGTTACAAAGCGTACATGCCTGAATCCGTTCTAGAAGGTTAACATCAATTAACAACTCTACAAGCCAATAAATCTCACTGTGTGACCATGGTAGAATAAACAGAAAATTCAAAACTATTCCGACAGGAGTATTTTAATTGTGCTTCCACACATCTAATGAAAGGTTTAAAAATTGCATGTGCTCTTTTAAATAAATACAACTGCACAATTGAGGATGCTCCTCATGCACCTGAAAACTTGAGAATAAAAAGCATTGAGTAAAGTCAATGAAAATAACCATTTAGGCTGACTACATCATAAACGAAAACATGAATAGAAGAAAGGCCATCTTCCAAACCATTGACGGGCATAATCCATACCTTAACGGGTTCCCAAAACAGACATTGGAAGATTTAAAATGTTTGCACTAGGGACATATCAGCTGAAACAAGCAAGCTCCTCCTATTATTGTGAACATATTAGAGAAAATGGTCAGTATATCCTAAAAGTAGCAAACGAAATTGAAAATGTGCCGAAATTATTGATGTTAAAATGCTTTGAAGTACAGATCTACTACCTGGTATACCTATATACCTATGTATATGGGTATACCAGGTATACCTATATATATAGGTATACCAGGTATAGCCTTGAGTCGCGTTGAGGCCCTTCGTTAGTATCAGTTTGACCGTGACCTAAATACGGCCGCACGTCTCTAACGATGTCGGAACAACAACGCCGTTATCCGAACCGCGAATATTACGAGATGGTACGGTGCTACATTTTACGTGGTGCGTAAAGACTATGAAAGTGACTCTACCCCGTTTGAAAAGACAGACAATGAACTGAAGTGTCGAAGGACGATTTTGGCAGCCAACCAAAGATTATTAGATCTTGGACAACTTACTACACCGGCTTATACAATGCTCAGACACATGTTATGTTAAAAAATTATTCGAGAAAGCGTGCTCAGCTTTGTATTGAGAGAAATGGACTCCATTTTGAACAATTGTTAAAATATCAGTGAGTGTTTTTTGTGACTAAAGGAATAGGTAAGTTTAAAGGCCCATTTACACGATGCCATTTTCTTGTACATGCAAGAGCAATAATTGAATGCAATAAAATTGCGCGCAATAATTGGTTAGACCATTTGTTGTTTAGACCATGCAACTCATTTATTGCTTCAATTTAATTGTATACAACAGGCAAGAAACTGGCACCGTGTAAATGGGCCTTTAGTGTTGTAAATAGTTGATTCCACTTTTTAAATACGCCATAATAAGTACGAACAATAATGTATGATTTTAAAATAATAAAGTAGTATTTTAGTATTATGGCGACCCTTTATTATGACGTTCCTAAGCCCGTTCAAAGTATGAAGGAAAATTGGAATCATAAACATATTTGTATATGATACGCGTGTAGTAGCAAACTTTAGTTGTGTGCGTGTCACAAGGTAGATATAGGTTTCGACATTTAAGGCCCATTTACACGGTGCCAGTTTCTTGCCTGTTGTATACAATTAAATTGAAGCAATAAATGAGTTGCATGGTCTAAACAACAAATGGTCTTAACAATTATTGCGCGCAATGTATTGCATTCAATTATTGCTCTTGTATGTACAAGAAAATGGCATCGTGTAAATGGGCCTTTATGCTTCGAATACTTTTGAAACGAACTTGTGTGCGTGACAGTTATGAACGAGTGTGAGTACGAGTGATTTTAAATATTTATCATTTTTTTTATATAACATTATTTATGTCTAGAATTTATTAATAAAAAATGGATACATTAGCAAAGCCACCCTGTATAAACACCGTAACACCAGAAAAACCATGACTTTGACATTGAGTTTGTTTGAAAAGTATTTTTTTTTAATTATGGATTTTATTTATGATTTGGCAGTACAGGCCAGAGACATGAGTGCAATATCCATACTAATCTAAACGCGAAAGTTTGTATGTATGGATGGATGGATGTTTGTTACTCTTTCACGCAAATACTACTGAATGGATTTTAATGAAACTTTACAATAATATAGCTTTTACAACAGAATGGGACATAGGCTATAATTTATGTATGTCTTTATTGTTGTTTTATGTGTGTATATTTTATGTCTTTCTGTCTGAATCTTACGCCTTCAGCTTATTCTACGCAGACGTAGTCGCGGGCCGCAGCTAGTATATAATAAACTTTAATGATCACGGTCTCCAAGGAAAAAAAAAAGTACACTTATGAAAAAAGTATATGCGTACCTACTTATTTACGCACGTAAGAAGTTTTACTTCTTAAGCGTAACAAGAAAAATAACTAAAAATTTTGCTCTGTTTGGATGCAAATTGCATCAAAAAGATATAATAAATAAATAGCCCATTTAAAAAACTGTGGTAGTTGCAGGTCCGTCCGGGTAAGTACCACGATCTCATAGAAGACCGGCGTAAAGTAGAAGTGTTTGTTGCGTTTCGTCTGGTGAGTGAGGTAGCCGGGGCCCACTTTATTTAAAGGTGGCAACGCATTTGCAACCCTTCGGGTGTAGCAAATGTCCATGGGCGGCGGTGATCTTGACATCAGGTGAACCGCCCGCTCGTTTGCCAGTTTCTCGCATAAAAATAAATAATAATTTGGAATTGTAAGTAAATAAAGATTTTATAATAAAGTTATTATTGGTTGCCATGGCAATATCTTGAAGTTGGTCACCTTGCAACTATGTCGCTTTTTTTGGCTGTCGGTATGCGCGCGCACCGTAAAAAATTCACTCGCATAATTCTTTTAAAAGAAGTATATCTTCAAAAATGTACACATAATAATTTTGGACAAAAAATCTGGACTTCAAACAGGAGACTAAAAACATTGTCAACACTAACATTTGAGGATTGCCCTCGATTTCTCTTGGATACCATCATCAGATCCGAGTTTTCTTATCACGGTACCACCCTTGAGATATCTGCTTTCCAACAAAAAAAGAATCATCAAAATCGGTTCGTAAATGACGAAGTTATACGCGAACACACATAAAAAAAAATATATACCGGCGAATTGAGAAACCTACTTCTTTTTTTTGAAGTCGGTTAAAAATGAGAAGAAACAAAAAATACAGCACTTGAATCATTAAACAACACATTTTACGCAGACCAAGATTTTTCACACATAAAAAAAAAATAAAAATATATACGGTCGAATTGAGAAACCTACTTCTTTTTTGAAGTCGGCTAAAAATGAGAAGAAACAAAAAACAGCACTTGAATCATTAAACAACACATTTTACGCAGACCTAGATTTTTTTATTTATTTATTTAAAATAAAAAGATCTAGTAGATCTAGGTAATATACATGTCTGGTACGAACCCAAACTCTCCAAAGTGATGCCCTCAGACTCGTCAGCGTCTGGACATGCCTGACGTGCCGTCTCGTTCCAGTACCTTTAAAAACAGAAGACGAATTTTAAATTATAAACAATACAGAAAATCCTTACTAATATTATAAAGGCGAAAGTTTGTATGTATGTTTGGATGTTTGTAACTCTTTCACGCAAATACTACTGAATGGATTTTAATAAAACTACAATAATATAGCTTATAAATCAGAATAACACACAGGCTGTAATTTATATACATATTTTTTATGTATATCTGTCTTTCTTTCTGAATCTTACGCCTTTAGTCTATTCTACCCAGACACTGGAAAAACACTATGTTCATCACAAAATATTTTTCTAGTAGCGGGGATCGAACCCACTCTCCCTGACACAAGGGGTAGTTTCACTACCCACTACGCCAATCGGGTCGTCAAATTTTGTCGCCATTGCCAAAGAAGAGTTTGTGTCTTTTTTTAGGTGAAAAGTGTCTTTTTTTAGTAGCAAACGAACTTGTAGTTCACCTGATGTTAAGTGATAAGCGTCAGCCATTGACATTTGCAACACCCGTACGGTTGCAGATGCGTTGCCACCTGTCAATAAAGTGGGCCCCGGCCACCTCCCTCACCAGTCGAAAAGCGGAAGTGTAACTTTGCGGTCTGTGAGGTCGTGGTACTCCGGACGGACCTGCCCATTCGTGCAACAGACAGCGTGGCCGTACCACAGTCAAACTTTAGTGGTATTTTACGTTGTCTATGCAACTGCTGCGTTGCCGTACTACAGTCAAACGTTAGTGGTATATTACGATGCAATAACGGAAAGTGAGAGCCCACTTGGCCGAAAGCTGTTCGAGGAAGCGCTCCTTCTGCAGCTCCAACAGAGCCCTGGAAAGCGATTCCTGGAGCCTGGAGCCCTGTTGGACCGCGATGGCGTAGGGCTGCTCGGCGAACACCTCGCCAACCTCCGTCAGGTTGCAGTTCCGCGTCACCTCGTATCTGGTTCGAAGGACCAGAAAAGTTCATTGAAGCAACAGCTCACTGAGGCCACAATATATGTGTATTATGGTCACTGTTATTACTGTAAGCAACTATTAACTAATCTTATGCCTTTAAATGTTATTACTGTAAGCAAATAATAACTAATCTTCTTGTGCCTTTAAATGTTATTACTGTAACATTTAAAGACCTCACAGAAGACCGGCGTTAAGTGGAAGTATAATGCTTTCGCGTTTCGTCTGGTGGGTGAGGTAGCCAGAGCCCAATTTTCAAATGGTTGTAAACGCATCTGTTACCCTCGGATGCAGCAAATGTCCATGGGCGGCGGTATTCACTTAACATCAGGTGAACTGCCTGCTCGCAACTTTTCACATAAAAAAAATGAACACCCTATAATATAACTCACTTTATCTCGGCAGAGTCGTGGATGAAGGCGAAGTCTGCCTCAGTATGCTCGTTGACCTCCCTGAAGCCCGACTCCGCATCAGCCACCGGACCTAAGGGAGAGGATTGACGACTCCGTGGCGCAGTTGCCGAGGTATTGGCTTCGGCGTCTGCTCGTGGGTTCGGTCCCCACACGGGACAACTATTCGTGTGACCCACAAATGGTTGTTTCGCATCTGGGTGTTTGTACACGTGAAATTAACGTTTGTAAAAACGTTCTTACAACACAGGATAATGTTATCCTAAAGTGAGGGCAATGTTTATAACCTAGGTAACCTGGTAATAACATTTCATCTTTTTGACATTTACTTATAATTCCAAGTTATTTAATTAAACCTTTATCCACCGTAGCCGCAGCTTTATCACAAACAATCTTTTGTTACGTTAAAGAAATATAACTTATTACATGCATATTATAAGAACACACGCTTCTTTTAACTATACATTTAATTCAAAAATATTTGAACAGTAGCTATTGTTGATATTGAAATTGGTATTAAATTGTACGAATTATCATGAACTACGTGGAATTTATACTAGATTATATAAAGTAATCATAAATAGAATATAGGTACTACTTATATTGCATTGAAAAAAATACATAGTACGAAAATACAGGTAACATAGTGTACATAGGTATAGGCGGCCTTAATGGTTAGGTAGCAATCTCTTCCAGATAACCTTAAAATTTTATAAAAATTATTCAATAAGTTTTATTACAAAACCAAAAAATATTTGTGTTTTTAATTATTTTTTTGTTGTTTTTTCAACTTTTATGTTTGTAAAGAAATAAGAATTTGTTTTAAGTTCATTATTGAACGTGTTCTGAATATTTCGCAAATTTTTTTTTAGTAATAATTTTCATGACAAAGTAGAATGGGACAAATTTGTCACGACGGCGGTTCAAGGGGGCTTAATCTTCGGCGCTTCTAGTGCTAAAACAATAATATACTAATTAGCCAAGTCCTTACCTGAAGCGTTGATGGCCAGCAGTATGTGGCCGTACTGCTCGCGAATCGGATAGTCCCACACCCTGTACTGCGCTTGGTCAGAGGTCGCGTTCAGGGTGATCTCCTTCCAGACCCTGGAAGAGTGCAGCTGTATGGTAGCGTAGATTACTACAATAGAGCCAAAGGTGTGGTAGGGGCACGCAACAGCTCGTCATTGCATGAATGAGCAGGCTTACTCACGATCAAAATCAAAAATATATTTATTCAAACAGACGCTTGCGCGCTCTTATGAATCGTAAAATTTTACATCAAAGATTATGTATATAGGTTCGCAAGGTACCACCGGTTCGGAAAGCAGTTTCTGTTGAGAAGAGACCGGCAAGAAACTCAACGGTTGCTCTTTTCCAAAAATATCAGGGTACAATATAATATACAGGTATAATAGTCTTATTCTAGCATACGTGAGTATCAACAGTATTAACTCCACACATTGGCGTCGGCGAGATATTCCGAAATGGTATAATATGCTTTAAGGCCCAATTACACGATGCCATTTTCTTGTACATACAAGAGCAATAATTGAATGCAATAAGTTGCACGCAATAATTGACCATCAAGAATTGTAAGCAACAGTAAAAAAAATTGAATGCGATTATTGAATGCAAGTCTTGACAGGAAATAATTGCAAAGGTCTTTTGTTTACACCAATGCAATTATGTTTAGGCGATTATTGCTTTCAAGTTTTGACTTGTCTAAACACATGCTTGTATGTGCGTGTACAATTTATTGGCGTGTTGCTTCAAGTATTGCACGTATTTGCGTTGACAAATTTTTCATGCAATTGTTGAACGTTTTACAAAGGGCTGTTTTTTTTAAAAAATGGCTCAATAATAAGTGTTCAAGTTAGATTATGCCGATTAAATATATTTCATTGAGATTTATTTATTATGATCCATATATTATTATTCATATTTTATCCAACTTTTTTTTCGACCTTTTCTCAATATTTCTATCCTCAAAAGAACAGCAATGATTAAATACCGTCACTCATTGCACTAATTTTTGCAAAGGAAGAGAGAATGCAATTGAATACAAGAATTGCTTAAGAAATTATTGTGTGTGCTGTTTACACCAAGGAAAGTTTTGAAACAAAACTAGAAGCAAGTCTTGTTCAACAGTCAAGAATGTTATGTGCTGTTTAGACAATGCAACTCATTTATTGCTTCAATTTAATTGTATATAACAGGCAAGAAACTTGCACCGTGTAAATGGGCCTTTACACCAATGCAATTATGTTTAGACGATTATTGCTTTCAAGTTTTGACTTGTCTAAACACATGCTTGTATGTGCGTGTACAATTTATTGGCGTGTTGCTTCAAGTATTGCACGTATTTGCGTTGACAAATTTTTCATGCAATTGTTGAACGTTTTACAAAGGGCTGTTTTTTTTAAAAAATGGGTGCTGTTTACACCAAGGAAAGTTTTGAAACAAAACTAGAAGCAAGTCTTGTTCAACAGTCAAGAATGTTATGTGCTGTTTAGACAATGCAACTCATTTATTGCTTCAATTTAATTGTATATAACAGGCAAGAAACTTGCACCGTGTAAATGGGCCTTTACACCAATGCAATTATGTTTAGACGATTATTGCTTTCAAGTTTTGACTTGTCTAAACACATGCTTGTATGTGCGTGTACAATTTATTGGCGTGTTGCTTCAAGTATTGCACGTATTTGCGTTGACAAATTTTTCATGCAATTGTTGAACGTTTTACAAAGGGCTGTTTTTTTTTAAAAAATGGCTCAATAATAAGTGTTCAAGTTAGATTATGCCGATTAAATATATTTCATTGAGATTTATTTATTATGATCCATATATTATTATTCATATTTTATCCAACTTTTTTTTCGACCTTTTCTCAATATTTCTATCCTCAAAAGAACAGCAATGCAATGATTAAATACCGTCACTCATTGCACTAATTTTTGCAAAGGAAGAGAGAATGCAATTGAATACAAGAATTGCTTAAGAAATTATTGTGTGTGCTGTTTACACCAAGGAAAGTTTTGAAACAAAACTAGAAGCAAGTCTTGTTCAACAGTCAAGAATGTTATGTGCTGTTTAGACAATGCAACTCATTTATTGCTTCAATTTAATTGTATATAACAGGCAAGAAACTTGCACCGTGTAAATGGGCCTTTACACCAATGCAATTATGTTTAGTTTAGACGATTATTGCTTTCAAGTTTTGACTTGTCTAAACACATGCTTGTATGTGCGTGTACAATTTATTGGCGTGTTGCTTCAAGTATTGCACGTATTTGCGTTGACAAATTTTTCATGCAATTGTTGAACGTTTTACAAAGGGCTGTTTTTTTTAAAAAATGGCTCAATAATAAGTGTTCAAGTTAGATTATGCCGATTAAATATATTTCATTGAGATTTATTTATTATGATCCATATATTATTATTCATATTTTTATCCAACTTTTTTTTCGACCTTTTCTCAATATTTCTATCCTCAAAAGAACAGCAATGATTAAATACCCTCACTCATTGCACAAATTTTTGCCAAGGAAGAGAGAATGCAATTGAATACAAGAATTGCTTAAGAAATTATTGTGTGTGCTGTTTACACCAAGGAAAGTTTTGAAACAAAACTTGAAGCAAGTCTTGTTCAACAGGCAAGAATGTTATGTGCTGTTTAGACCATGCAACTCATTTATTGCTTCAATTTAATTGTATACTACAGGCAAGAAACTTGCACCGTGTAAATGGGCCTTTAATCATTAATTGATTTTAATTTTACATTTAAATTGTTCAAGCGGCAGACTTAACATCGACTGTGGGATTTTATTATACATGCGCACACTTTGCCCCATGAACGACCTCGTTTTATCTGTTAGACATCGCTCTAACGAAAGAGAAGAGATCATGTCTTTTTTTATTACGTGGAAAGTTGCCAAGCGAGCAGACGGTTCATCTGATGTTAAGTGAATACCGCCGCCCATGGACATCTGATACTCCCGAGGGTTGCAGATGCGTAGACCTTTTGAAAATTGGGCTCCGGCCACCTCACTCACCACACGCAACGCGAAAGTATTATACTTCCACTTTACGCCGGTCTTCTGTGAGGTCGTGTTACTTACCCGGACGCGTCTGCCCATTCGTGCAACAGCCGAGGCTGCTGCGTGGCGTGGTCAGATCTTTAAAATATTCGCGAATCGTCGGGAGTCTGCAATCGATGTGCAGGTCGACGTTGCGTTGATACCACTGCGCACCGGTTGCGCGGCGGATGAATTTATTTTGCACTATTTGCAACTTGTTGATGCGAATAGGGTTTGTATGGGCTAAAATCATGCATGCGTAGGACACGATTTATGCGTAGGCCGTACGCATGCTTTATATATAAGTAATTTTGCCTTAAGGGCATTTTACTCGAATCATTAGTTAAGGTATGTAGCCGGCCGGAGAGGAACGCGGCTCTATTACGAACGTTATTAATTGTAAATGTCATACGCGAGTCGAAAGTGACTCCTAGCTATTTTAGGGTTGGGGGTGCTACGCGTGAAGTGAATCGCCACACTCATCTCTGGATATAAATATTGTCTGGGCCCGGGGGTGATTTAAATTGTTGTTGTGGGTTTTAAATTTTACATAATATCTTGGACAAACACTTTTTCAGATATATAAAAGTACTCCTAATTTTTGCGGGGGCTCGACGACGAGATCGCTGAGCCCATAGAGCCTCTTTATGTTGAAAATGGCCTTACCTTCCGGGGTAGGAGAGGCTCGGCCGAGTAACTACCACGACGTTACAGAAGTTTCGTCTGGCGAGCGAAGTGGCCGGAGCCCAATTTTCAAAACGATGCTATTTCTGCACACCCTCGGGTGTAGCAGATGTCCATGGGCGGTGGTATTAACTTAACATCAGGTGAACCACCTGCTCGCTTGGCAACTTTCGGTTCATCGGTATACGGGTACTGAGGTGTCTGAGGCGACGGACGGCATGCATAGGGTATGCCTAAACTGACCACTTTTTTCTAACTCAAAACGGGACATTGAAATGGTTTACAATGAAAATCAACATAACTTTTTAATTTTCTTTATTCCGAAAAGATTAAAAATTAATAGATACAAAGAAAAAATCATCAGTTCACTATTTTTATTAAAACAACATGGGTATGTTTTTAAATATATTTATATTTCTCAGAGGATCAAATTTGTTTTTGGTGACGATTTTAAATAAGATTAAAATTTGGCACGTTTCTTTTACGTTGTATGTTACCCTTGTTATCAGCATTGCCTTCAGAACTGGACCTGTTCAATATCACCAGCACCACTATGGGAAACACTAAACTGTGTGACACTTTTCCAATCTGACATCCGAAAGAGTGTTAATTTGCTTAATAAATGGGTATTTTGTTTGTAGGTTGGCATTAAATGAACACTTGGGTTTCGGCATAACTGTAGGAAAAATTTCAAAACAACAAAACTTCAAATTATCTACAAAACTATTTAACGAACATTACACAAAAACACAGTCAAAACACGTGGGTGTGGTTAGCCTATTGAAAGAAACAAATGACATGATTGATGAAGAAATTGAAAGAAAGCCGTGCGGGGAATAACCGATCGCGGTTCCGCGCTGCTCATTGTAAAAAAAGTAAAAGTAAATTTAAATTGTAAAAGTTTAAAATTTCCCGCGATTTCGGAAAACGGGACAATTTTGCGTCCCGAAGATTTGCGCGGGGACAAAGGGACAGCTGTCCGAAGAAAAGGGACAGTGCCGTTTAAAACAGGACGTATGGTCAGTTTAGGTATCCCTGAGTGAGGATGTCGGTGTTTTAGCCTTATCGACATCCGAATCTTTGGGACGCCCTTGATTACCTCCCGAAGTTTGCGTATTTTGGGTAACGAGTAGGTGTGAAAAACTTATCTAATATCTTGTTTTCGCGCGCGCAAGTACTCCGTTGCGCGGCGGAAATCATCGGTGGTATCTAGGAGTGTTTTTCGACCGGGGGAAGGGGAGAAGGGGGGGGGGGGGGGGGGGGGGTCGCGGCGAATAATTTCCGAAATACGAGCATACCTGATGCCACTTAGCCTACTCTTAAATTGTTATCCGCGAGGAGGCTAAAGGCCTTAAAACTTTATTTCGCTCGACGGCGAAATTCTAGCAATCGGCACACCACTGTCGCGAGCCGCGACCCCCATTTTGGAGGGTGTCACTGAGTGACGATCTCACCGAATGTACGTTCCATCATTGGACGTCATTAAAAAGGAAATAATCTCAACATCGCGATGCGGCGTTGTTCGCTCTATCAATCGGCGCCATCTGTCGGTACAAAAACTAACAACTTTCAAACAGGGCCATCTGTCGGTACAAAGCGCACAACCGAACAATACGCATCGCACCTGCAGCGATGTTCGCTCTATCAATCAGCGCCATCTGATGCAAAAAATAAACTTACAACTTGACAATACGGATCGCACCTGCATCCTCTCGACGGTGAGGAAGGCGGCCAGGTTGGCGGTGAACGTGGCCAGCATCAGCACCACGAACAGCCAGTAGGCGGCCACCAGAGTCCTCCCCGACAGTGCCTTAGGGGCCTCCCCCCCGCCTTGGGGGGTGAACGATGTAAGCGCGAACCAGAAGCTCTCCTTCAAAGTAAACTCCCTGCACGGATAGAGGTGTCACAAGTAGCCGTGATCGCGTATGTCGGAAAGCCTATAACCAGCAGTGATGATGATGATGACAGCTTTTAGGTTAGGCTACCCTCATTTCTGAAGTCATTAGAATCTTCACGCGTTGCCGCGTGAACTAGAGTTGAACACACACAATCCACAAACTTTCTTAAATATATGTAACTTTAAATAACACAAGCAAAACTGTTGCTTAAAAGGTAGCTCCAAATATTTATTAACTTGTAAAGAAATATGTTAATGAAATAAACAATTTTGTATTTGTATATGATCTAATTTCTATCTTTTCCTATACCTTTTTATATAGAGTTCGGCATTCGACCCATTATGGGCGTAGTCGCTGAGGGGAATATTTCAAGTCGAGGGACCTCTTTAGGCTCCTAAAGGTCCGATTAAGACCCCTAAACATTTATAATGTCACCGTTTTATTAACGTAATAAGTCTCCAAGTTATAAAGTCACAAATTGACATCCAGATATGATTGAAATTACTTTTTGAGCTTATCATACCCCTAGATTTATGAAGGGGACAATATGTGTCCATGGCTACTATTTTTGTTTTATAATTCTAATAATACGTTTATACTATTCTTACGTATACGGCTCATTTAGCTAGGTAGCTAATTTAATTAAATTATATTCTATTGAATACAGGCACATATCTTATTTTAGTGTTTAACTTTTTAAGACGTCGAAAAACGGTTTGAAAAAATCTTACTTATAATAAAGAAATTTTGATTTTGCGAGGAGGTGACAAGTGTAGGATTGGAGATGCGTTGCCACCTTATGATAAAGTGGGCCCCGGCTACCTCGCTCACCGGACGAAAGGCAGAAGCGTTGTGAGGATGAGTGAGGATGAAGGGGAGATGTCATACTTCTGTATGACACTTCCTCTTTACGCCGACCTTCTGTGAGGTCGTGGTATTACCGGACGGACCGGCCCCTTCGTGCAATAGCGGAGGCTGTTGGTGTACTGTTGCGCGAATGGGCAGGTCCCCCCGGTAATGCCACGACCTCACAGAAGACCGGCGTGAAGTAGGAGTGTTACGCGCGATGCGTGTGGCGACGCATTTGCCACCCTGCGGGTGTGGCAAATGTCCATGGGCGGCGAGTATCACTTGACATAGGTGGACCGCCAGCTCGTTTGCCACTTCCTCACTCACTCATAAAAAAAACCAGCCAATCGCGAATCGGACTTGCGCACGAAGGGTTCCATATAATTATCTACAAAAACTGTCTGTTGTATAGGAGCCCATTAAAATTATCTATTAATATAATTTTAATGGGGCATTAATTATAATAAAGTAAAGTAGCAGCCTATACATGTCCCACCGCTGGGCAAAGGCCTCCTCTATACAGGGTATCAGGGCATAGTCCACCACGCGGAGCCGTGATAGCTCAGTGTCCGGGCGCTCGCCTTTAATTCAATATACTCGAGCAAGCTGAGTTCGATCCCCGGTGCCGGCACCAATGAAGTTTTTAACTTTAAGTGCTGACTTATCACGTGCTCCGCGGTGAAGGAAAACATCGTGAGGACACCTGCATATTTTCGAAATAATAAAAAAAAAATATTTTCGAAGATATGTGAAGTCCGCCAATCCGCAGTGGGGCCGCGTGGTGGACTATGCCCTGAATTATAATATAATTGTTTTTTATTCTGTTTTTCAGTATTTGTTGTTATAGCGGCAACAGGAATACATCATATGTGAAAATTTTAACTGCCTAACTATCACGGCTCATGAGATACAGCCTGGACGGACAGACAGACAGCGGAGTCTTAACAATAGGAAAAAATTAGTCGACGGACCCACCTGCAAGGATAGGGGTACGCGTCAGGGTTGTTCCTGGCGGAGTACGGCGAGTACTTCTCCAGCAGCCATATCATCACGCCGGTGAGGAGCAGGGCCGCCACAATGCTCAGCCAGACCTCCGTGCGGAGCACCGTCATGAACTTGAAGAGGGACGTCTTCCGGATGGGCTTTCTGATCGCTGGTGGGGATTAGGTGGCGAGTGACAACGATGGAGAATCCATAGTATCATCACCAAACATTTGATACATGCACCTCCATCCAAACCTCTCCATATTTTAACTGTGATGTTTTTCTAAATATCTCTCAACAATTCCAAAGGTGCTTCGTTGTATATACAGGGTGGCTTTTCTTAAGGTTTTTTTCACACAGGAGGTTCAAACTCGGTAGTATAATCGCTTGTTGAAATAAAAACAAACTTTTTTTTCCAAAAAAATTGCAATTCTATACCCTAAAAAACAGAACTTGTTGACAATGCGGTAGTCATTCATAAATGCGTCGTATACTTTTGAAACGAACTTGTGTGCGTGACAGTTATGAATGATCGCGCGTAAAATAAATGAGTTGCCCATAAATCACGCACTTTTTGAGATAAGTTCAATTGAATGTAATTAATTAATTACGAGTGATTTTAAATATTTATAATTTTTTATATACCTAACATTATTTATGTCTAGAATTTAATAAAAATAATGAATACGTCAGGTCCTCGTTTCATTCAGTGATTTCTGTTTACGCCAACTGTGGTAGGGCTACGCAGTGTTTGTTGCAGGAATGGGCATTTCTGTCCGGGTAAGTACCACGACCTCACAGAAGACCGGCGTAAAGTGGAAGTATAATACTTTCGCGTTTCGTCTGGTGAGTGAGGTGGCCGGAGCCCAACTTCCAAAAGGTTATCAACGCATCTGCAACATTCGGGAGCACCAGATGTCCATGAGCGGTCACTTAACATCAGGTGAACCACCTGCTCGCTTGGCAACTTTTCACATAAAAAAAAAACTTTGTTTTATCGAGCTAAAAAGGTAGAAATATACTTTTATCAAATCACCGTAGTTTTACATAGTACGACAATAACACTACTATAATTACTTATTTTCAATTTTATACTAAAGAATCAACACTAACGATTTAATTTGTGAAACGGATTGGGCTGCACTATATACCTACTTCTTGTTTACAGCCAAAAGAGAATGAAATGCTTCGTGCAGTGTGGTATAAATGAACCACACTAGCGACCCGCCCCGGCTTCGCGCGGGTGCAATTTTTTGTACATATAAACCTTCCTCTTGAATCACTCTATCTTGTAAAAGAAAACGCATCAAGATCCGTTGCGTAGTTTTAAAGATCTAAGCATACATAGGACAGACAGACAAAAGGGCGACTTTGTTTTATACTATGTATCGATGATAGAATGACACTTTCTTTAGTGTTGCCAAAACATATATCAACTGTTTGGATGGATGGGAGTTAGTATAATTCTGTACTGTTTATTAAAACGTGGCAACGAAACGTATCTGCAACCCTACGGGTGTTGAGTGTCCTTTGACGGCGATTATCACTTAACATCAGCTGAACCGCTCGTTTGCCACCTTCTCACATAAAAATCCGGTCAAGTGCGACTCGGGCTCGCGCACGAAGTGTTCCGTACCATTTACAAAACGGCTAAAAGTCATGTCTGTTGCATACAACAGACATTATTTTATGGGAGCCCCACTTAAATATTTTTTCTTACTCTCTTTTTTAGTATTTGCCGTAACAGCGGCCACAGAAATACATCATGTGTGAAAATTTCAACTGTCTAACTATCGCGGTTCATGAGATACAGCCTGATGACCGACGGACAGACAGCGGAGTCCTAGTAATAGGGTCCCGTTTCACCCTTTGGGTACGGAACCCTTAAAAGATAACCTCACCGATCAAGATGCCGGTCTGCTCGAAGTATGGTGCGACGAAGTCGATGACTTCCTCCCGTTCCGCGGTCATCGTGAGCGCCGCCACCGCTATATCGGTCTCCTGGAAAACGGGGAACCTCTAGAGCGAGGGTTCTCAAAGGACCGCCCCCCAGTGGGCACTGAGGCTATATTTTTTTTTGGACACTCTAGTAAACAACACTAAACAACGCTTGTACTATGTCATAGATTATTGATAAACATAACTAAACATACTTTTGTTTTGTAAATAAATTCATATATATAAACACTGGAAAAACACTATGTTCATCACACAATATTTTCCCAGTTGCGGGGATCGAACCCACACCCTGGCGCAGGAGGCAGGTACACTACCCACTACGCCATTCAGGTCTGAGGGGGCAATTGCAACTAAACAATATTAGAGGCGCTAAATAAACCTCTAGAGCAGTTATTCTCAAAGGCGCCGGCACCGCCCCCCAGTGGGCGCGGAGGCTATATGAGGGGGCGATTGAAACTAAACGATATTGAAGGCGCTAAATAAACCTCTAAAGGAATTATTGCCAAAGGCGGTGTTACCGCCCCCCAGTGGGCGCGGAGGCTATATGAGGGGGCGATTGGAACTAAACGATATTGGAGGCGCTAAATGAAAATCGGCGGGCGTTGAAAAGTATAACAGCAAGGTGAATAACAGTGGTTCTCAAAGTGGACGGTATTGCCCGCACCTAGGAAACGCATATTCGCAACCCTACTTCACGCCGATCTTCTGTGAGGTCGTGGTATTAGCTCGGACGGATTTCCGCCCGCTGCAACAGCGAACACAGCTGCGTGGCCCCGCCGGCGAAAAAAATATTCAAGGAGCTATCATGAATAATCCTTGAATTAGTAAAATGTCTAGACAGTGTGGCCGCAACCGATTTACAACGTGCCGATATACTGTCTACAGCCCACTGATTTTTGACCGACGTCGAAAAGAGAAGTTCTCAATTCGACTGTATTTTTTTTTATGTTTGTCACCTCAGAACTTTCGAATGGGTGGACCGATTTTGATGATTCTTTTTTAAATTGAAAGCTGGTGTCTCCCATGTGGTCCCATGTTAATTTCATCGGTATTGGATCTTGGGCTCCGGAGGTACTTGGGGAAATTAACTATAAAATGAATGCAGAGCGAGATATTTGAAGTCGGTCGGAATAACAAATGGTTATTGAGCGTGCCAAATAATATTTAAATTTTCAACCACCCCCCCCCCCCCCCTCCCACTGGGTACCGCCCACTTTGAAAGCCAAAGCTCGGGAGGCATTAGAAGCAGTGGTTGGTGTGGTCACTCACCCCCCTCATCAGATCGCCGACCACTCCATTCCAAGAGCCGTTGGGCAGTCTGTGGCCGAAACCTCCCGACCTGGGAGACACGATTTCGTAGTCGAATCCCATCGTCTGGCGAATCAAAAGCAAAAAAAAAAAGATAAAAAGAGTAAAGTAACTGTTTACGTCCCACTGCTGGACAAAGCCTATGTACTATCAGGGCATGGTTCACCTCGTCTATCTAGTACTTATATAAAATTCTTGTGTGACAGTTTTGGTGTTTATACCCCTACGAAACGGCTTGACCGATTTTGATGAAATTTTATATGTATAATCTGTAGGAATGAGGATAGATTTATTAAATTTTTTTATTATTTTTTTTCTACACTACAAATAATTTATAAGGCAATATATAGTAGTAGTATACATATATAGATTTTTTTTACGCTAGCGACAACGTATGGTTTAGTGTGAAGATTATATATATTTTTTTTTTTTCACCCAACCTTAACGCAGCTAGGTTGGGTCGGAATCATCTTTTTAACGCGGTTCACGTGACGTTAAGTAATAACCGCCATCCATGGACGTTTGCAACAACCGTACAGTTGCAGACGTGTTGCGAACTTTTAGTAAAGAGGGCCCCGTCTACCTCACTCACGAAACGAAACGCAGGTGTCTAACACTCCTAGTTCACGCATACCACGCTAAATGTTTAATGTTGTTTTTCGTGTAGGCAGCATTGTATGTGTATTATATGGCAAACTGCAGCATGAATACAATTATTATAAAGATCGAAACGAATTTGAAGACTTACAGTTTAAGAAAATTACGGTTTTCCTTTTGAAAGACTTATTAATGAGGCACCAGACAGAACCAAGGTAACCGACATAGCTTAGAGAATTAGCAAGCTGAAGTGGCGATGGGCCGGCCATATAGCTCGTAGAACCGATAACCGTTGGGGAAGAAAGGTTCTCGAGTGGCAGCCTCGTACTGGCCATCGCAGTGTGGGACGACTCCCCACTGGATGGAGTGATGACCTGTGCAAATGTGCGGGAAGTCGATGGATGCAGGTGGCTCAGGATCGTACTTCGTGGCAGTGTATGGGGGAGGCCTATGTTCAGCAGTGGACTCAAACAGGCTGAAATGATGATGATGCGTGGGCATTGTGTGTCTGTGTGCGTTCGTGCGTGCAAATATATGTGTGTGTGGGAATGATTATCTGTGAGATCCAAGTACAGCTGACCTGCGACAAGAACATTTCACGGACGGCCTGCTTGATAAAAAAAAAAACTATTCGCATCTTTAGATATTATAGTGGCCTATTTAATAAAAACATATAAATTTTTGGGAAAGTTAAAATAAAGATTTGAAAGAGACCGAAGTATACATTATGTAGCTTTCTAAAATTGTTTTATTAAGTGTGGTTAAAGGTAGTTAACCTTTTACGACATTTAATAAACTACTGTTTTAGGTCGTTTGGAATGAATTAAAAATCGCGATTCTCTTAATTAGGTCCCTTTAATCCTAAACGTGCGCTCGTCTGTGGGACCCATGCGGTGCTTACCTGCGACAACTTCTCTATGAGATCGATGCAGTACCCGTGGAAGAGAGGCTGACCATCTTCGTCTACCAAGGGCTTGCCGGCGGGGTCCAGCTTGGGCATAGTCCAGGGTATGGCCTGGAGCGGATCGAACGGAACCAAACTTAGATGACTCCGTGACGCAGTCGCCAAATCGGCTACGGCGTCAAGGGTCGTGGGTTCGATTCCCACATAGGACAACTATTTGTACGACCCACAAATAGTTGTTTCGCATTTGAGCGAAATGTGTGTTTGTGAAATGTTATTCCAAAGTAAGGGAAATGGGTTTTTTTTTTAAAGAAAAAATCATTATCAAAGTCAAAATTTCTCTACTCATTTATGGGCTTAATTTAAGCTCTTGTTGAGTGTCAAAAAAAAACTACCACCGGTTTAGTGAACTAGACCTGAACAGAGAAGAACCGGCAAGAAACTCTGCGGTCTTGTTATCTGTTTTTTTTTAATGATACAATTACACAGTTGATTATCCAAAGATGGGTCCTCTAGAAAATATATTTTTGTATGCTTCCATGCACACAGTTTTTCACTATACTTAAATTTTTTGAAGCTATTTTATGTACCCAATTTACATTTAAATAAAAAAGTTACTTTTTATTGAAAATGAAAGAGAGAGAAGACACTTAGTACCACACATACAGATCCCACAAAGATTTTAGTTTTAAAAATATATCAAATGACAAATAATCAAATTAAAAAAAAATACGGGTTGCACTCCGGGAGTGCCGACAGAAGTGAAAACTTATTTTGGCGCGTTTTTAGACATTTTTTAGATAAATGAAATAATATAAATAAACAATTTTGATTCGAAGTTATTTAAATATCTCGTGAATACCGCATCAATTGTACTTTTATATCTCGCTGATTGGACGTAGTAAAATCGAATTCTCTATTCAAAAATTTAATTAAGCACACACAATAGCCGAGTCTCGTAACGGTTGTAGCGAGAAATTTTATCTCATCTAAAAATAGGCGTACCGCACAAAAAAGAAGTTTTCACTTCAAAAAGTGATAAAATTTCTCGTGTTAAACCTTTTTCTGTTAAATCGTATAATTAATATAAATCGTATAATTAAAATAAAATAATAAATATAATTAGTAACATCAAAAGCTTCTAAGCTCCGTAAGTTTTCGGCTTAAACTAATAAGTATCGATAAAATTCAGTGATTATCCATATAGGTACATAAATTGTAAAAGTTTTATTTTATGCATCATAGTAACGATTAAAAAATTAGTATTATCACATACTTTATTTTTATGCAAAATTATAAACTAAATTTACCAAAATTAAAGTAGGATACTTAATTATGAAGTGTTTGGCAGTCCTACTCACCGGAGCTGTGCCGACCCTGTAGAACATCCTCAGGGGCTCCAGAACCACTCCAGGAAGTAGCTGGTAAGCACCGTCAGCCGACCACTTGGCTACCGTCTCCTCAGCGTCGGCCTTGCGGATGGAGAGGACGAACTGCGAGCGCAGCAGGAGGCTGGAGCTGACAATGGACCGCAGGAAGGTGACAAGATTGACCGGTGACAGACTCGTCACCCGCTTATAAAAAAATATTGTTTCATCTCAAGTGCAAAGATCGGCAATATAATAATTAAAAAATTAAAAACCTCTCAACGGATGTTCAGGGACGCGACACTTGAGGGGTTGTCACATTTTTACAAGCGCGGTATTTTTTTAATATGAGAAGTCCAGCGAGGTGGTGCTTAACCTAATGTTAAGTGATGAACGTCGCCCATGGACATTTGCAAAACCCCTAGGATTGCAAATTCATTGTCACCCTTAATAAAGTTACCTAAAGCTACCTCGCTCGCAGACGAAACGCAGCAGTGTAACAAAAGATAAGATAAGATAAGATAATCATTTATTGTCTTAACTGTGTACAATAGGTGTTACATATTACATTATTTTTTGTGTCAACAGTTTGCCCATTTCGGGCGTACAATAAGAGAAATGTTAATAATATAATTAAAGTATCATTCGGTTCTACAATAATATTCATTTAAATTATAAAAACAATTACATATCAGCCATTCTTTTAGTTTTGTTTTAAACTCTACACCATGAAGTGATCTTATTGATTCGGGTAAATAATTATAAATCTTAATACCAGTAATGTAGTAGCTTTTTTGATATATATAACTCGAGCAAGGCACAGTACATATGTCATATTTATATTGCGATCGAAGATTTAGTTTTGTGTCTCTTTTCTTAATATAGTATTCAGAATGATTTTTGATAAATAAACAGATTTCTAGTATGTAAATACATGTCAGGGTTAAGATCTTATTACTGATAAATATAGGCCTTACAGAGTCCTTACCATTTACATTGTATATTGCCCTTATACATTTCTTTTGTAACAAGAATGTGGAATTTACATTTACTGAGTTTCCTCAAAATATAATACCGTATGTCAATAGTGGGTAAACATATCCATAATAATTATTTTTAGCAACATCTGCAGAGCTTACATTCCTCATAACAGAGATAGCATAATATCCACTAGTAATTGTTTTATTAATTTTTTCGACGTGAGCCTTCCAGTTTAAGTGCCTATCAATGTTAATATCTAGAAAATTTATTTGGTTAACTTGCTCAATGCTGTTATTATCAATAATAACGTTTACGTCTTGCGGTAGTTGTTTATAGTTAGTAAATTATATAATTTTTGTCTTACTTAAGTTAACTTTTAAATTAATACATGTCAACCAGTCAACTACAGTTTTTAGAGTGTTATAAATTTCATTAATAAATTCAGAGTCATTCAGATTGTCTTTGGATATAAATATCGTAGCATCGTCAGCAAACATTACACATAGATTGTTAATAATTAAAGGAAATTCATTAATATATATCAAGAACACTAATGGTCCCAATACACTACCTTGAGGAATACCCAGTTTTATTTTCTCGTAGCTTGATTGAACTTTTACAATCATTTTTGACGCTTTATCATATGTGTCTAAGACTGTAGTTTGAAGTCTGTTTGTAAGATACGATTCAATTAGTTTTAACGCATTTCCACGGATTCCAATATGTTCTAGTTGCTTAAATAAAATGTTGTGTACAACACAGTCGAATGCTTTGGCCAGGTCTAAAAATATTCCAATAGATGTTTTTTTCTTACCAATATCTTTCCATATTTGCTGTAATATTTTAAAAATTGCCGAAGTTGTGTTTTTCGATTTTTGAAAACCGAACTGATTTTTCGATAATACATTATTTGCATTTTAAAATGACATAAACCTTTTTAAAATAACTTTTTCAAATATTTTAGCAAAATTAGGTAATAACGCAATAGGTCTATAATTACTGATTTCGAAAAAAAAAGAAACACTTCCAATTCTTCTCTGAGGTCGTGGTATTACCGGATGGACCTGCCCATTCCTGCAGCAGCGAAGAATGTCGCGTGGCCATACACAGTATAATTTATTAATTTAATAAATCTCCTCAATTCATTCACCACTGGCTGTTCCATGGTGCCGAGAACTTGTTCGAGTTGGCTGGCTTGGCACGACCGTCTAAAGAATCAACTGCTGAATCCGCTTACCTGTTGGGGTCCCAGAAGAACAGCGTGTCGTTGCTAGAGGTCTCAGAAGAGAGCAGGTCGCGAAACCCTCGGGAATACTGCGGCCCGCTAGGCTCATCGCAGCGGACGGGCCTTGGAGGTGGCAGGTCTGGCAGTTTGGTGAACGTTGCCACCAGCAGATGGACGAGGGCGTTCAATATATGCTGCTTCCGCTGCGGACAATGCGTAACGTCACGGCCCGTAGCTATGCTTTAGGGTTCCGTACCCAAAGGGTAAAACGGGACCCTATTACCAAGGCAAAACTCCGCTGTCTGTCTGTCTGTCCATCTGTCACCGGGCTGGTGCGTTAATAAACCGTAGTAACCACAGTTAGACAATTGAAATTTTCACAAATTGTGTATTTCTGTTGCCGCTACAACAACCAATACAAAAAAAAATATTTAATTGGGGCTCCCTTACAAGAGACAATGATTTTCTTGCCGGTCGTCCGTTAGTGTGGGAATCGAACCCAACAAAAACTACAAGAACTACACAGAGCTAAGCACTTAAACCGAACCTGAAACCCCACCGGATACTCGCACTCCTCCCTGCCGAGGAGTTTGCAGCATTCGCTCGTGTCCACGCGCAGGACAGCGGCCGGCAAGACCGGCTGTTCCGAATCCAGGATGGAAGCAGAGTAGTCCGTCACCACCAGGACCCAGCGGTAGGCGCGACGCACCAGCTTCTCCTTCACCGCCTGTACCAAAGCGTGGTGACCATACGCACCTCGGCTTCTACTGGGCTTCTACTGTTGCAGGAATGAGCAGGCTCGTCCAGTGGCAGGAATACCAGAGCCTCACAGAAGTGGTTTTTTTTTACAGTGTTCTTGGTAGTATCTTCAACTTTTACAGCGTTCGAAACGTCGAGAAATAAAAATCAAAGTTAAAACATATAATATCGATAAAATCCGTTTATTAGTTTCATTTAATTCTCCTCTCATATTTTTTCCGAACGCAACACTTTTGTTGCGTTCGGAAAGTAAGATTTCAAAAACACCTCACAGTTTGAGGATCTCATATTTAGCACAAATAAAGAAAAAACTCACGCGTCTGTACGTGTCGCGGACGAAGGTGGCGCCGCCGACGACGACGAAGAAGCTCGGTTCTGGTCTCATCAGCTTTAGGGACCTGGCGGAGTCCAGATTGAGTCCGGCGTGGACCCAGACTCGCACGTTCGACTTGCCTAGGAGCTGGTAGAGTGCCATGTCCACGTCTCGGACACCACCGTGTAAAGTAAATAAAGTAACAATCTACAATTCTGCCGTCTAGGACACCACCACGTAAAGTAAGTGAAGTAACAACCTACAATTCTGTCATGTCCACGTCTAGGGCACCACCGTGTAAAGTAAGTAAAGTAACAATCTACAATTCTGCCATGTCCACGTCTAGGACACCACCATGTAAAGTAAGTAAAGGAACAATCTACAATTCTGTCATGTCCACGTCTAGGACATCACTATGTAAAGTAACAATCTACAATTCTGCCATGTCCACGTCTAGGACATCACCGTGTAAAGTAAGTAACATAGCAACCTACAGTTCTGCCGTCTAGGAAAACCACCATGTAAAGTAAGTAAAGTAGCAACCTACAATTCTGCAATGTCCACATCTAGGACACATCGTGTAAAGTAAGTAAAGTAGCAACCTACAATTCTGCCATGTCCACGTCTAGGACACCACCGTGTAAAGTAAGTAAAGTAGCAACCTACAATTCTGCCGTCTAGGACACCACCATGTAAAGTAAGTAAAGTAACAATCTACAATTCTGCCGTCTAGGACACCACCACGTAAAGTAAGTGAAGTAACAACCTACAATTCTGTCATGTCCACGTCTAGGGCACCACCGTGTAAAGTAAGTAAAGTAACAATCTACAATTCTGCCATGTCCACGTCTAGGACACCACCATGTAAAGTAAGTAAAGGAACAATCTACAATTCTGTCATGTCCACGTCTAGGACATCACTATGTAAAGTAACAATCTACAATTCTGCCATGTCCACGTCTAGGACATCACCGTGTAAAGTAAGTAACATAGCAACCTACAGTTCTGCCGTCTAGGAAAACCACCATGTAAAGTAAGTAAAGTAGCAACCTACAATTCTGCAATGTCCACATCTAGGACACATCGTGTAAAGTAAGTAAAGTAGCAACCTACAATTCTGCCATGTCCACGTCTAGGACACCACCGTGTAAAGTAAGTAAAGTAGCAACCTACAATTCTGCCGTCTAGGACACCACCATGTAAAGTAAGTAAAGTAGCAACCTACAATTCTGCCGTCTAGGACACCACCATGTAAAGTAAGTAAAGTAGCAACCTAAAATTCTGCCGTCTAGGACACCACCGTGTAAAGTAAGTAAAGTAGCAACCTACAATTCTGTCATGTCAACGTCTAGCACACTACCATGTAAAGTAAGTAAAGTAACAATCTACAATTCTGTCATGTCCACGTCTAGGACACCACCATGTAAAGTAAGTAAAGTAACAATCTACAATTCTGTCATGTCCACGTCTAGGACACCACCATGTAAAGTAAGTGAAGTAGCAACCTACAATTCCGCCATGTCCACGTCTAGGACACCACCATGTAAAGTAAGTGAAGTAGCAACCTACAATTCCGCCATGTCCACGTCTAGGACACCACCATGTAAAGTAAGTAAAGTAACAACCTACAATTCCGCCATGCCCACGTCTAGGACACCACCATGTATAGTTAGTAAAGTAGCAACCTACAATTTCGCCATGTCCACGTCTAGGACACCACCATGTATAGTAAGTAAAGTAGCAACCTACAATTCCGCCATGTCCACGTCTAGGACACCACCATGTAAAGTAAGTAAAGTAGCAACCTACAATTCCGCCATGTCCACCTCAACCGTGTAAAGTAACAACCTATACCGGTGGCGGATTTACCAGCAAGCTAAGTAGGCTTCAGCCTAGGGCGGCAGATTTTAGGGGGCGGCAAAGTTGGCCTGAAATTTTTTGTCTCATAGAAGTAAAGAAAAACATTATATAAAAGTGGTAGGGCCACGAATCAGTTCGCTGATGCACGTGTGGGTGGACCTGCCCAGGGTCCGGGTAAGTACCACCACCTCGCAGAAGACCCGCGTGAAGTGGAAGTGTTATACTTCCGCGTTTGGACTGGAGAGCGAGGTAGGCGGGGACCACTTTATTAAAAAGAGGCAACGCTGCGGGTGTTGCAAAAATCCATGGGCGGCGGTAATTACTTAACATCAGGTGTACCGCCAGCTCGTTTCCCACTTTTTCACATAGAAAAAACATATCGTTGGAGTCCCGTCTGTTTCGAGGATATATTATTTCGCTTTAGTAAACGATGACTTACATTTTAAAAAAAACCGCCAACTTCATGAATGTGTATTGTAAACAATTACCGCTCTCGGTCTCCAACAAAATGGCGGCGTCTGTCGCGTTCCTCGACTCCAGATGGCTGTCCATGGCGCTGACCAGCTGTTGCGGGCCCAGCAGCGTCCGCAGCCAGGGTAGGCCCTTGCTAGTGGAGAGTTCTTCGGCCATCTCCCACGGTGACCAGGAGAGGTCGATGATGATGGATGCCCCTTTGGCCAGGGTGGCGCACACTGGAGGAAATAGAGAGATACTCGCGAGCTCTCGGGAAGTGTTATACTTTTGCGGTTCGACTGGTGAGTCACTGGAGCCCAATTCTTTAAAGCTAGGTAACACATCTGCCACTCTAAAGCTGATGCAGACGCCCGTGGGTGCACAATCGGGTGAACTTTTTTATGCGAAAAGATGTCAAAGGAAGAGACGGTTCACCTGGTGTGAAGTGAATACCGCCGCCCATGGACATCTGCCACACCCGAGGGTTACAGATGCGTTGACAACCTATTGAAAATTGGGCTTCGGCTACCTCACTCACCAGACGAAACGCAAAAGTATTTGACATACTTCCACTTTACGCTGGTCCTCTGTGAGGACGTGGTACTTACCCGGACGGGCCTGCCTATTCGTGCAACAGCCGAGGCTGCTGCGTGGCCCTACCACCTTGTTGGATGTTTTTTTTTTTTACGTAAAAAGGCGAGCGGATTGTTCACCTGATGTTAAGTGATAACCGCCGCCCATGGGCTTTGCAACACCCGTTGGGTTGCAGATGTGTTGCCTTTTACCTATGCTTTTTAATAAAGTTCGCACCGGCTACGTCACTCACCAGTCATTCACCACCAGAAACGCAAAAGTATACCACTTTCAATTCACGCCAGTCTTCTGTGTGGTCATAGTTCTTAGACGGACGGACCTGCCCATTCGCTAAAACTGTTGCGTGGACCTACCACAGCTGCGGCTTACCAACTCCACGTTAAAAAAAACAGACCTTCCAAGTGGGGATGTCGAAAAAATATCGATATAACATCAGATTTTGTATCGATATTTCGATATTTTCTGTTCGATATATCGAAGCCGACAATGATATTTTGATAAACATTGAAATGTCGATATATTTCTTTACTTTCGACAGCCCTAGTTCCAAGCTTAAGAGCTTCCACTAACGTTTCCTGTAACCCTCATCTTCTGCCTCCCGGTCAAGTTGGACGACATCACCGCTCAGCAGCAGCTCCCGCCTGGACTCCTCGACAAGTTTCAACGCCTTGCCGACCATCTCCGGGAGATCGGTTTCCTGTTCTTCCACAATAAATACTGGAACGGAGAGCAGTAACGAATGCTCCAATAGCTTCCAACTCCTCGACGCTAACCCATTCTCTTACACTCTCCTCTCAAAAAGATGAATTATGCTTGTTATTACAATGTACCAAGCGATTTTAGAATAAAACCAAAGGGTAAAACGGGACCCTACTGCAAAGACTCCGCCGTCTGTCGTGCACGAAGGGTTCCGTAACATTACGAATATCTATAATAACGGCAAAAAATTCATGTCTGTTGTATGGGAGTCCCACTTAATTTTTTCTGTTATTTATTATTTGTCGTTATAAAAAAGTAAAGTAAAGTAACAGCCTATACATGTCCCACTGCTGGGCAAAGGCCTCCTCTATAAAGAGGGTATCAGGGCATAGTCCACCACGCGGCCCCACTGCGGATTGGCGGACTTCACATATCTTCGAAAAATATTTTTTTTTTGTTATTATTTCGAAAATATGCAGGTGTCCTCACGATGTTTTCCTTCACCGCGGAGCACGTGATAAGTCAGCACTTAAAGTTAAAAACTTCATTGGTGCCGGCACGGGGGATCGAAGTCAGGTTGCTCGAGTATATTGGATTAAAGGCGAGCGCCCGGACACTGAGCTACGTGGTTAATCCGGCACTGACCCTATTACTAAGACTCCGCTGTCTGTCTGTCCGTCTGTCACCAGTCTGTATCTCATGGACCATGTTAGTTAGACAGTTGTAATTTTGACAGATGATGTATTTCTATTGCCGCTATAACAATAAATACTAAAAAAAGAATAAAAAAATATTTAAGAGGGGCTCCCGTACAACAGACATGATTTTTTGCCGTTTTTATCGATAACGGTACGGAACCCTTAATGTGCTAGTCCGACTCGCACTTACTCGGTGTTTTCTTAATTCTTTTTAAGAAATAGCTTGGGTAGTACCATTTGGGTGCGGAACCCTAAAAATGACGATCGTTAGATAAAATGTATGTTCTTATTTCGATGAATAAACTATTTGATTTATATAAAAAGGTTAAAATGAACTCCAATAACTTTGCTACTTTTTTTAGCATCAAATAGTAAATTAGTCAAATGATACTCACCGAATCTCAAACTTAACTCGGATACAACACAGCCTAAATTGATCAGTAAAATAAACAGTAAGCATTCCCACTCCATTTTTGTTAATATCTGTTGCAGGAATAGCAATTATTGCAATCTTTGACTTTGCTAATTAAAATTGCTGAGATGTACTCTTGCAACAGATACGGTATGAAAAGTGTAAGGAAAACGTAAAACAAAATTCTTAATTTTTCCAACATAACACAATGCTGATTATATAATTTGATTTAGATTATATTGTGATATATTTTCATACAAATTGTGTATCCAATTATGTTACAAACGTTAGAAACAATTGCTGGTAAAAATATGTTAAAGCGTAATGTTTTATTTTTAAATAAACAATCCAAAATATGGGCTTCACATAATCTGTGGTTATTCGAAGAAATCTTCAAAATGATCGACTGCTCTTGGCTTTTATTTGACGCAACAATGGCCGCAACTCTAGTCCTGAATAATTGATTAAACAAAGGGTAAATTAAGCTTCAGGTCTATACCTTACATCTATACTTAACAATGCTTTAGAGTATGTCAGTTGTACAGTCACGCGAAAAGTAACAACATTCAATACAATATTGAACCGATTATCATTTTTAATAACTACCAACATTAAAATATGTAGAAAAAGTGCGAAAAGATTGTCGCCGCTGTGGGAATGGAACCCACGTCTTCGGCATTCGCGGCCTGACGCTCTAGCCACTGAGCTAAACGGCTGTTTACCACACCGACGAAAATCTTAACGCATTCTTCTACATTGTTTTCTTAACATTTGAAGCAATGCTTGGCGCCATCTATTGTTATATCTTTTCCAGCATACAAACAACTTCGAATATCGTTTTACAACGATAATTCGAACGAGAGATGTCGCCATTGCTTTTTTTTAGAAATTTAAATTGTTTATAGTGCTAATCTTTGCACTTAAGATTGAACATTAAAATATGTAGAAAAAGTGCGAAAAGATTGTCGCCGCTGTGGGAATCGTAGCCACGTCTTCGGCATTCGCGGCCTGACGCTCTAGCCACTGAGCTAAACGGCTGATTACCACACCGACGAATCAAATCATCATTGGGAGGAATCGGTGTTCTTTTGCAAGGATCTGCTGTCTATCAAACCTGATGTAGTGGTTGGGCCGATTTAGAGTGTGCTCACAAACTGCAGACTTGCACAAAATTAATAATACAAAAACTGACGGTAGCCCGGGTTAACTTTGACAATCAGACGTCTAACACCTCAATCTGTCCCGTGACCATGAACACTGTATGGGTTCGAAACGTCGGGAACTAAAATTAAAAATAAACGCCATAAATCCGTAAAATTAGTTTCATTTATAATGTGTAATCGCGTAAATACAAGAAATTATTATAACTACCAACATTTTTTCCCTATTTCATTCTGTATGTCACTACCAACACTTTTTGTATTTCTTCGTTTCAGAAAAAAAATGTAACTTTCTCGTGTAAGTAAATTTTGTTAATAACTTAATTAAAATAAGTTTCCTATCAGATTAAACTAAGAACACGTTTGATTTTCGGAGTATCAAAATGGCTGGCAAATAAAAATCAACTACCTACGACTTAGAAAAGCTCGCAGAGGAAAGTAACTAAACGGGTCATTTAACAAAAATGTAATTGCTGATGAGGAAACATGTAAATTATATTCAAAACTGTGTGTGATGACGTGAACACATTACTACTGTAAGTTGATACAATTTTGCTGATCATGTTGATCGAAGAAATTGTTCCCAGTGAATCCTTTGTCGCTAACTCTTAGGGCTACTCTTTGATGCCCACTCAGAGTGAAATTGAAGCTGGTATGCTAGTACCTACACTAAACAGGAATCAAAAGATAAAATGTATTTTTTTATTCGGAGACTCATCATTACGTAATAATAACACAGAATCATTTATTAAATCAAAGTAATAATTCTTTAGTTTTTTACGCGGCTGTACACCAATCAAATATTAAGTAAAGAGGTTTCACTCGACTCTCTTGTTATGATTTCCAAAGACAACAAAGCGCGGGAAAGGAAACAGGTGGCCTCATCACGCGATCCCCTACAGCGCATGGATAATTCAGTCACAGGCGCCATTAATGTATATACTTAGCAAGTAATTTCACTTGATCTGCAATAAAATAGTATTATTATTTAAACATTCCATCTTTTTAAATAAGAACTTTATTTCAGACCAAAAATCCATTATTACAATAGTTTACAATGGCTTAAAAAAAGGAATAAGGAAACTTATTATGGTATCCCTATAATATATTGTTTATCAAAGGTAAAATACCTTTGATATGATTATATCTTCCATGATTCATCACCACATTTAAAGATTCAAACACCATTTTAAAGCTTTGGCCGCTATTGACGAAAAACATGCAAGTAGAATTATATAAACTAAATGGTTTCTAAGCCGTGTGGTGTCGGCGTAAGAATAAGCCACCCCATCTCATCCCGTGGGTGTCGTAAGAGGCGACTAAGGGATAAGCCACAAACATCCGGTGGCCTCCGATAGATGGCGGGATAACCATCCTAACTCTCCAGACCTAAATATCCAGGCCAATAACGGGCAGCAGCGTTGAAGGTGCGAGGTGTCTGGAAGAATTGCGGTTGCCAACCCGCTCGCCAAACGTGGCAACTATGACAAAAGCCCCTTATACATGGAAGTCCAAGTTGTACGGCCCCCAGTCCCCGGCGGCCCTGCTATTCCTGGCTACGGTAGCGGTCATGGTAACGGCAGGGCAGGGGGTGCTAAGAATCTCCGGCTAGGATTCGGCTACCAACGACGGCGACTGGACGCAACATACAACGCAAGAACATTGAGGACTGACGAGAGGATAACAGAGCTGGAAGAAGAGGTAAGCAGGCTGCGTTGGGATATAATAGGATTATCTGAAGTCCGAAGACAGGGGGAGGACACGATAATCCTTGAATCGTGAATGAGGTGTCGGATTTATCGTCCACAAGTCTCTCATTAACAACGTTGTTAAAATCGAGGGTGTGTCGTCGAGGGTTGCGTACCTTATACTCAGAATATCCAAACGGTATTCGCTGAAGGTGATACAGGTCTACGCACCTACATCGACACATCCCGATGATGAGGTGGAGGCAATATATAAGGATATATCACGAGCCATACATTCCTCCAAAACTCAGTATATGGTGTTAATGGGAGACTTCAACGCAAAGCTAGGCAAAAGGAAAGACAATGAGCTGAGAGTAGGTAGTTTTGGAATAGTGCAACGGAACCCAAGGGGGCAGCAGCTGGCTGACTTAATGGAGAAGGAGGGACTCTTTATGATGAACTCTTTCTTCAAAAAGCAGCCCCACAGATAGTGAACCTGGATTAGCCCGGATGGTTCTGTAAAAAACAAGATAGACTTCATTATGACGAACAAACGGCAAATATTCAATAATGTCTCTGTGATTACAAGGGTGAAGACCGGCAGTGATCACCGGTTAGAATGGCTCTTGACCATTTTAAGAATGGGAAAGCTTCGGGAGAGGACGGAATTACAGCAGAGCTTCTGAAAGCGGGTGGAGAACCGGTACTTGTAGTCCTTCAGAGGCTCTTTAATTCCGTCCTTCAGGGTGGTGCTACACCAGAAGCGTGGAGCAGAAGTGTGGTGGTGCTGTTCTTCAAGAAAGGCGATAACACTCTCTTGAAGAACTATAGACCGATATCCCTTCTGAGCCGCGTCTATGTGCTGTTCTCAAGAGTCATCTTGAATCGTCTCGCTTCCAGACTCGACGACTTCCAGCCTCCCGAACAAGCCGGATTCCAAAAAGGCTTCAGTACCATATACCACATACACACCTTGCGGCAGATTATACAGAAGACCGAAGAGTATAATCTGCCTTTGTGCCTAGCGTATGTGGACTATGAGAAAGCCTACGATTCCGTCGAAATTTGGGCGGTACTCCAGGCTCTTCAGCGGAGTCAAATTGACTGTCGGTATATCGACGTGTTGAGGTGTTTGTATAACAAGGCTACGATGTCTGCCCAAGTACAGTCCAGTAGTACAAAACCTATCCAACTGCAGAAGGGTGTAAGACAGGGTGATGTCATATCCCCGAAACTCTTCACCGCTGCGTTGGAAGATGTTTTCAAGCTTCTGAACTGGAAAGGAGGAGGTATTAACATCAATGGCGGATACATCACCCACCTTCGATTTGCCGACGATATAGTCATCATGGCAGAATCGCTGGAGGACCTTGGTACGATGTTCAATGACCTCAACAGTGTCTCCCAACGGGTGGGCCTTAAAATGAACATGGACAAGACGAAGATCATGTCTCATGTCCATGTCACGCCTATACCGGTTGTTGTTGGGAGCACTGAGCTCGAAGTTGTTGACGAGTACATTTACCTAGAACAGTTAGTCCGGCTAGGTAAGTCCAACTTCGGCGCAGAGGTCAATCGGCGAATCCAACTCGGATGGGCAGCGTTCGGGAAACTATGGCAAATCTTTTCGTCAAATATACCTCAATGTTTGAAGACTAAAGTCTTCAATCAATGTGGCAACACACATGTGATGACCTACGGAACCGAGACGTGGTCCTTCACTGCTGGCCGTATGAGGAAGCTCAAAGTCGCTCAGCGAGCTATGAAGCGGGCTATGCTCGGTATTTCTCTGCGTGATAGAGTTCGTAACGAAAACATCCGCAGTAGAACCAAGGTAACTGACATTGCTCAGAGGGTTAGCAAGCTGAAGTGGCGATGGGCCGGCCATATACCTCGTAGAACCGATAACCGTTGGGGAAGAAAGGTTCTCGAGTGGCAGCCTCGTACTGGCCATCGCAGTGTAGGACGACCCCCCACTAGATCGAGTGACGACCTGTGCAAATGTGCGGGAAGTCGATGGATGCAGGTAGCTCAGGATCGTACTTCGTGGCAGTCTATGTTCAGCAGTGGACTCAAACAGGCTGAAATGATGATGATGAAATGGTTTAAAAAAAGAATATTTTATAAATTTCTTACAATGATATGATAATGCCATCTATTGACAATTTGTTTAAATGAAAGATGGCAAATAATATGACTTTATGCTTTGAT